TCCGTTGCGTGTCGCTTCGCGTTGAATTTTCGTCGATGTTAAGCCTAACAAAGACTATTGTATCGTTAAAAATTATTTTTTTATTTTGTACAAACAAAATAAATATATTGAAAAATATAAAAACAATAAAAAATTATACTTCAAAAGTTAATTTAGTATCAAAAACGTAAAATATTTGAATAGCCCAAGATATAGCCAAAGATTGCAGCGCCACAGCACCAGCAAAAATTTAAATTTGCCGACTGAAATTCTTTCGGATGATTGACTTTCGGATAATCGACGCTCTACTGTAGTTCGACTCCGGCAAATTTGAAATGTACGACTCCGACTTCGACTTGTCACACTACGATTCCTTTTATAAGGAAGATACCACTACGTATCTGAATATTTTTTATCTAAAATTTCTCTATAAAATGTACTAAAATAGATGGTGTGAATCAAAAAACGGATATAACGAATTTACCTGGGAAAAACTTTCGAATATATAAAGAAATATACATTTTAATCAGCCCAAAAACTTCTACTTTTATTAGTTAATTATCAAAAACTGATTTAAATTTAAAAATTTCAATAAAAAGATTTAAATACAATAAACGAAAAAAAACAACGATTTGATTAATGAACGGTGTAATAAATTGGTTTGCAGAATAGTTTCTCTTGCTCCGGCTTCTACAAGAATACAGTAGTTAATTTCCAACTAACGGTTGATTAAACTCAAGTATATTGTAGAATTTTAATTAAAATATGAATTTTTGGAAAAAATATATTAGTTATCTTGAACCACTGTCCCAAAAAATTAAACCGGTGAATAATAAGCTGGAACAATCGTATTACTGTAATGACATTTTGCAGTTTCGCTTCCTCCTTTAGTTTGTTGCAGTTAGATTCTGATCTCGATTTTAGTTTTTCATTGTGTTTCTATTGGCTGTTTTAAGACCAAGTACTGCAATGTTATAGAAACAATATTAAATAGTTATAATAGAAAGCAGAAAAAGTTAATTTGTCAAAAATAGATTGATATGCAAAGAAAAACATCCAAGATAAAAAAAAATATCGTGCCGAGTAAAAATTATGTCACCGAAATAAAAGTCAATTTTTTTCTTGGGAGTTTCTTTTTGATAAAGATAAGCTTGGCACTTCGAAACGATATCATAAACTTTATACTAGACAAGTAAGTTACATCGAGAAACTCGAAACGATGTTTATCGATGTAGTGAGCCAGTAGTTTGAATAGTAATATGTCACAAATGAAAGATTGTGAGTGATTTATTGTTGATTTTTAAAAATATGATTAAAAGTATAGATAAAAAGAAATGCGTAATAAAAAAATTATTTTTCAAAAAAATAATTTATACACATGCAAGGGTTCTACTGAGCATTTTGACACCAAAATTATCAAAATGAAAGTGGGATTTTTTTTAAACGTCAAACATGTACTTCTGCTTGCCGTACAAGTTTAAAGTTTGAACTTCGGTCGCAACCTCTCTATTGTCTGTACGTTTGGCGTTCTTGCTTTAACAACATAATGACATGGTGAAGCTTTCAAGAACAAATTTCAAGGATATTCTTTGTTTTAAAATTTAATGGTGATTAAGATTTTATAGCTTCTAGTTTGAAGACTTATCATACCTTTTGAAATGTTTTCACTTGGGCACCAAGAGACCTTTTTTGACTTTTTTATTTTATTAATTAAATATGTATTTGGGTCATTTATGTTCTTCAGTTTAAAGCAGACGCTTTTCGGGTTACAAGTTTTTTTTACAAATTCACTGAAGACCATATATTAAATATACATTTTTTTTCTTTTTTTTTCATTACATTCTTCTTTTATTAGTTTTATCTGAGGCAATTTCTAAAAATATATTAGATCTTTGGCTGTTTTAATTTTCTAATAAGAAATTTTTAATTTTAGAAACTCATTTACTTTTTCCCTTTAACAGTTTTTTTTTCAAATGAATTTTATTTTATACGAGACTAAAATTTCTCATTTTTTCTTTAAAATGATCTAGAGATCCTATTATATTTTATTAGTAAAGTAGACTATAGGTTCTGTCTTAACATGTATATTCTGAACTATTATGATATTTATACGAGCTATTATATACATTAATTTTTTTCTCATACAGTACAAAGAAAGTTGACCAGACAACTGAGCAGTACAGGCTGTCGCAGCGAAGGATCCAGGATCAAATCCCGGTTGCGATTGTTGCAAAAAATTTTCGCTTGGACCGACGGACTGGCTGCTGCGTTTTCTCGGTTTTCTTCGCGTCAATAACACCCGAATAGGGACCACTTTTCTTTAAAATATCACCCAGAAGGCACATTCCGTCGATTTCAGATCGTGTTGCGTGCCACCAGTATCTAAAACCAATTCGATACACTAGCATATTGAAGAAATTATTTGCTTTTTGAATGATTCATACGCTACTCAGTTTCAATTTCTTTTGGATAATTTCGATTCGCACAGCATACGAGCTATTCAAAACAAATGTTAATATAACTTACATAATATAAAGTCTAAGATATCTTTTTACAAATGAAAAGTCAGTCGAGTAATGCTTCATGTTTCATAATTTTTATTGGATAATAGCAAAAACATACTTAGTCTGGCGTGCGTTATATAGAAATAACGGCTTTCTAGGCGATGTGAAAATATTCGATTAAATTTTAAAAGCTATTTTCTGAAAGAGCGCGTCGTGTGCGATACGCATAAAATTTTGGTATGGAATGACCTTAATAGGTGAATATATTTTGATATCTAAATTTATCGAAGTGTCCATTTTCTAAGAAATTTCTTTAAAAGCTAATCAAAAAGTATTTATTGTACTTTACATTTTATCAATAGTAAAATTCAGAATCGGAGTCGCCGGAGCCGAAAGAATTTTGTCGACTCCGACTCCGATTCCGATTCCACAACACTGACTAAAAGTATGCGCCTGTGAAGACAGGTGGCTTAAGCATAGACGATATTTGCAAACCTACAATCCTTATTTGACTTATTTTGATATAAATCGGAACATTTTCGAGTAGAAAGGAACATTTCAGGAAAATTTTTCCGATAGGGTTGAAGTGAACGAATAGAGAATATGGCAACTCTTTTTCAGAATATGTCGAGCTATATATAATTATGAAATATGTTTTTTCCTTATAATACGTTGTACTTTGTTTACAAACATTTGAAAATAAAATAAAATAAATTTTATTTTGCAGTATTTTTAAATATATATATATATATATTATTTTGGTTTAAGATCTGGCAACATTGATAGTAACATAATTTTTGTGTTTTCAAGATGTCGACGACCAGTGACGATACACGTGAATCTGATTTCGATTCAGATGCTGAGGTAAATTCATAATACTTGTAGTTGAATGAGTACAGGAAAAAATGGGATTGCTCACAATTTTACAGGAAAACGTTAAAACCATTTTGTGATTTTACAGACTTCAGCTCGTTTACTTTTTTGTGCTATGGTGTCTTACAACGATTTGACATTGTTTCTGCAAATACGTGAACTTCATAAGGTCACGTTTGTAATATTAAAAAAAAAAAGCCATTTAAAATGTATGGAGTTATCTCCCTTTTACCTGCAAACAGCGAAATTATTCCTTTTATGTGCTATTTGAGCGATTATAACAAAAACAGCCAAATATTGCAAAGCGATTGTACGAGATAAAATTACAATCCCTGTATATTCTATGGGGCTTTGAGTGTTCTTAGGTCACCTCCGTAATATTTTAGGCCTAAAGAAAATAAGTTGCTGTTAAGCACCTTGATTTTATTACCATAACTGCAAAATACGAGTTTTGGGTTTACATGTATTTACATTTTCAATAATCTTCTATGTATTTCTCAACTGTTGGCCAGTTCATAATGTCATTTTAAAAGTAAGTGTTCTTGAGGTACAGTACATATTGCATTAAAGTACATATATTTTTAAGATCTTTAATTTTCTGTTTCATTATGGACACCTTTTGTGTATGTTTGTTCTCTTATGGGAATGACACTGGCCATGGTGTCATCTTTTGCAGTCCACTTCAAAAATTCCAGACCATCAATAAAGGGATATGCTTCAACTATCCCATGTTCATCTTTATGGAAAAAAAACATGTTGAATATTGATACTGTTCATGACCTTTTTAACTTTTCTCTCTGCAGAGTGCATGTCTTTGCTCACATTCCTTTTGTAGTATTTGGAACACAAATCATTAAAGTTCTTGATCGTAGCAGGGTCAATGACAACAATGGAGGCATCTGACAGTCCAGTAACAATGATGTCAGGTACTCCATGGATACAATCTGTAATGTTTTACTTTTTTATTTCAGCAAAATTGTGGTCACATGTAAAGTTTTTTGAGTTAAAGTACCCAGATTTGGACTCAGGCCAATTGCAAATACTCAGACTCAATATCTGATCTAAGACTTGATGACTCTCGGGTCAGAAATTATAAAGTCGCGCGTGGCACAAATATGAAATTCTGTAATGATTAATATTTGTTTTCTGTACTTGTTGTGTATTCTTTTCTCGTGTTTATTTGTGTTTATAACTCTATGAGTAAAATTCAATTATCTTTAGCCTTATATAATATTGCAGCTATTACGTTCTTAATGCTGCTTATTAGTTGTTTCAAAATTATTTACATTCTATTTATTTTCATATGTACAGAATGCTTTCATTTTGGTTTCAGTTTTAAATCTGTCATTTCTTTATTTGGTAATTGCTTATCATTTCCTTTCTCTTATTTTTTTAGTTAAAACATACAAACACATACAAATTTTAACTCTTTTTATTGACTGTTATTAAGGACATTAATAACAGTCAATAAATAATAATTTCAATATTAGTTATATAGTTACTGGCACTATACAAATTTACTCACCTTCACACTTCTCCAGTCAGTTTGTCTTGTGCCAATAACTTGTCTCATTCCTATGTGGCAGAAACTGACTTTTTTGCTGTCACTATTTATCCAGAGCTTGTAAAACTAATGCTGGCAATTCTGGTATATTTTTGAATGACTTAAGTCATAACTTGTTTTCATTTTTTTCTGTTTTTGTGGTAAAACTTTTGCACATATCTGGCTCTCATTCTGCATGTTAGAATACTGTTTGCAGAAAACAAAGGAACCATTCTGGGAGATGTTTCTGTCTTGCATGCACATTTTTAATTCTGGCTTTTTCTCATTTATAATGGAAAGAGAAATCTCCTTAATTGCTGCAAGGTGAGACTTCTTGGGATCAACATCAAGATGTAATAAAAAAAATTGCCCTAATGGAGTTGTCCCATTCTTTCCTGCACACATTCAATTATATTGAAATATAAATTTTCATTTGTCAATGTATACAATACATTGGCATTAAGGTACATCAGGGTATAAATAAAATTTTTAATAAAAAATTTTATTAAATGATGATAGTTTTTTCATCATGCTTAAAATACAGTAGAGTGTCGTTTATCCGAATCAATTGGGGACTGGGGTTGTTCGGATAACTTATTTTTCGGATAACCGATTATGTACAAAAAAATATATTAACCTACTCCTTGTTGAAATTTTTCTCCGTTGCGTGTCGCTTTGCGTTGAATTTTCGTTGATGTTAAGCCTGACATAAACTTTTTAAAATAATAATCGTGGCTATTGTATCGTTAAAAATTATTTTTTTACTTTTTACAGACAAAATAAATATATTGAAAAATATAAAAACAAAAAAATTATACTTTAGAAGTTAATCTAGTATCAAAAACGTTTGATTCAGCATGACACACAGTCCTCAGAAAAACACCACACAAAAGGCCAGTGCTGCCAGCTAAAACACACACATCAACAAAAAAAAATATTGGAGTAGCCCAAGATATAGCCAAAGATTGCAGCGCCACAGCACTAGCAAAAATTTAAATTTGCCGAATGGAATTCTTTCGGATAACTGACTTTTGGATAAACGATGCTCTACTGCATAATTATTCATTAAATTGCTTTGATTAAGTTGTAAGTTTCTAATAATGATAATAATAAATAATAATCATTTTAAAATTTACATTTGTAGAATTTCCATTAACAGGATGAACCAAAAATAGGTGGAAAGTAATTGAATAAGGTCTGTATTATATATAACTATGAGATGTCTGTACAGGTAGCCCTCGGTTTACACAGGCTCAATTTACGCTAATTCACAATAATGATGCTGTGCAATTTGCCATTTTGTGATATAATTCCCCGATTTTCCCTATGCTAGACTGATTTTCATTTCAATGTTGATGAATTTACCGAGCCTCAACATTGTATATTCGTTAAAACAAAGATTTTTATTGAATATATTTATTTTTTTTGTTTAATATTATTGGGTATGTATATATTTGCATTAAATTAATATTAAAATACTAAACGTTTAGGTACCCACGAGTCAAGTTATTAAACTTAATAGTCCAATAAATGGCATTTAAATCCATAGCATCAATGAATGTATCCCTTATCAGTTCATTCAGGAAAACACCTTACGATACAGTAGCACTTCCAGTGATCACAAACTATCATAAGTGAGACAAATCTACTTCTCATTGGCCAGACGATACTTTTTTATTAGCCAGACGATATCTACTTCTTGTCAGTCAGATGATATCTATCTCTCCTTAGCCACCTTCAATTTTACCATTCAAACTGGCCTTATATATGTGCTACGACAACCAGTGGTCAACCAATCAGTGTCTCTGCTCGTCTGTAGCTCTACGTCGGGTTAACATATCCTTTCAACTATGGAAAGTTTGACGGATGAACTTTGTGAGTTAGACAATGATTGGGAGCAAAATGCAAATGTAAAAAGGAGCATCATATTCGACCATATTCTGAAATTCTCAATGAAAGAAAACAAAAATGTAAACAATTAAAGATGGATCCTTTTTCCGAAAAATATGAGAGATCCGAAACTAAAATTTTTTAATAAAAACATTTCACTTCATTTTATGATAAAATACATTTTAAAAATTAAAAACATATGTATGTTGTATTATATTGTATTAATAAACAAAATTATTTGCTTATTTTCACTTATGTAGAACCTAACCCTATACCTAGTGAGGTATAGGGTTAGGTTCTACATAAATATCAAAAACTTCAGATTATGAGGCATTAAATAGAATTAAAAGAAATATTTTAATCTTGCAAGTGCAACATAAATATGTACGTTGTCTTCAGGCAATTCAAATTCAAATTCGATTTTGAATTGCCTGAAGACGACGTACATATTTACGTTGAAAGCACTTGCAAGATTAAAATATTTCTTTTAATTCTATTTAACGCCTCATAATCTGAAGTTTTTGATTGAGTTAACTGTTGGCGTGACATCCGAGCCGAGTGTTTAATACACCTAACCAATATGGGTTCATTTTATGCCAATTTGATTTGTGCCAGCTTTTGTAGGAATGGAACTGCGGCATAAAATGAGGGTTACCTGTATTTTATTTTTTATGTTATTTTATAATTTCTTTATTTAAAAATTTCCACTGTCGTCCATCCATCTGTCTTCCCTTTATCTTGAGAATGGAGTTAGATAGATGAAAGACGATACCAGATATGGAAACGTTATGGGCGGGAGGCCCCGATTGACTATATACAAACTTTTGATGCAAATTGGAAGTCATGTTATTTCAATTCAAAAATTTTTCCCTGAAAGGTGTTAGATAGATGAAAGGCACAACTCTATTGTTAAAAGAAAAGTTTGATGTACAGGGGCTAGCCATTACTAATTTGAGGTGGAAAGCGTATATTTTAAATTCAATAAATTAAAAATATGATTAAAAATTGCAGCCTGGCATTGTGAAGATGTCACAATAAATAATTGCTCATTACTATATACATAAAAATTGAATGCAGTAGTATATATAATCTCAAAATAAACATCATTTACTATTCACCTACTTCTGGTTCACCCTGTATTGTAAAATTTTGCACATTGAGTGTTTATGAATATGATTTTTGAATTTCAGTTACAGAAACTTCATGCAGAAGGTAAACTTGGAAAAGGCTTAAATGCATTGGTTCCACAAGAGAAAAAACATGTAAATAATGTGGTAAGTGGTTCAAAAATAATTTAAAACTTTGTTAAGTTTTATTTATTTATGTTACTTTTACAATTTGTTCAGTCATAAATGTAATTTGTAAATTTGGGAGATTAATTAAAATATATTTAAAAAAGGTATATTTATATATAGTTTTAAAAACTTTTAAAAAGAAAAGTCACTTTAAAATAATGAATATAAGAGATGTATTTACGTCATGTGGTGTAAGTACATCTCTAATTTTTATTATATTCAGTATTTCAAAGAGATTATTATATTCATTTTTTTTTTATTATTATTAAAGGGATGTACAGTACTTACACCATGTGGTGTAAGTACTGTACATCCCTTTGATGATAAAAAAAAAAAAGTCCATGCATAGATAGCCATCTGATCCAGGCACCCAGATAGATTTCCACGAGGCACATCTCTTACATAACACATCTAAACAATATGTCCTTAAACATACAGAACAAGTGGAAATTTACAAGGCCACCCACCATAACTCAGCCATAAACTATTGCGACATTGACTCCTTCCCCATTGTCTGGAAGTCGTTCTATGAATTGTAAGCTCTTCCCCTCTTCATTTTCCATCTTACAACCTTCCCTATATAGACTTGTTTGGTAATCCCAGTGTTTTCTCAACAGTTTGTTGCCTGATGATGTCCATTCAACATGGGCAAAAACATTCTCACTTTAAAATGTTATTGTTGTTGGTTTCTTAGGTTATTGCATTGTTAATTAATTTCTATATTATTTACTGTATACTAGCATATCATTAATATCCAGACAGCTTGATGATTCAAGATTATATTTCATAGTTTGTCCTAGACGTTAGTTGTTTTGGAAAAATTACAAATATAAGGTCATTGGTAATTACAAATATGCTATTACCAATTTTAAGCTCTTTTTGACTACCTACATCCTCCTTGTCACATTTTATCATCAATTTTTAGATACCCTCGTGTTGCTGTTATGCTTGACTGCTACCCTTGTTATTAAAGTCAACCATTTCTGTAAAACAGATTACAGTATATTAATTTATTTGTATTTCTTGCCAGGGCAAAATTAATTTTAAAAGTAGGCCAATATAAAAAAATGAAATTAACTGATTTACCAAGAAGAATCTGATGACAGTGTACTAAGTAACTCCTAGACTAAAGGTAATATGTTATATACTGTGTACAACAGTATTTCATATATAATCCATATCTGTAAAGGCAACAATAGCAATATGAAAAGATAAAGGCAACAATTGTTGCCATCCTTTCATACTAAAAGTTCTTCTGAAGTACAATTTAAATAAGCAAAAACTTGCTGTATAATCATTGATTAAAATACAGTGGTGCCTCGTATAACGTACTTAATCCGTTCCAGGTGCACATCTGTTAAGTGAAAAGTCCGTTATACGAAACACATTTTTCCATAGAAATACATGTTAAAATATATAATTCGTTCCACAGCATAACATATCCATACTGTACCATAAAAAAAAATTGAAAATGGAACAGTCACCAATTATGCCAGGTAGTCAGATGTTGTGAGGAGGAAGTGGAGGAACACTTTCTTCACACATTCATACAGATACAGACTTTTACACATTGCAGCAGGTCTCTTTTTATTGTTTTTTAATCGGAGTCAGATTCAGGAGAGGCTACTGGAGCTTGCAGGGTCAACTCCTCTTGTTCCATCCTTTTCTTGAAAAACATGTCCCAGGTGGTCTGTTTCTCTCTTTTCTTCAACACCTGTCGGAAATAACGGGCAAGGATGTCATTGTAGAGATCATTGATCCTGTTAGTCTCAGCTCTGTTTGGATAATGAGTGTTGGTAAACTCCTGAACCTCTCCCCATTTGACAAGGAAGTTTTTGTCAGCTTTCACTCCTTTTGATGATTTCTTGCTTTGTTTCAATTGAAATCATCTTTGTTTTTTTAGAAGCCATGATTTGCACAACACTTGAATAAATGTAAATACCCTGCATTGAGGTGATGTACATAATAAACAAGGGAGCAAGCTGAATTCCAACGGGAGCTCTGTACTTCAGATATACTGTACTAATAATATATTCTAATAATACTAATATATTGTAAAAATAGCATATTGTCATTGGCAACGGCAAAAGAGTGGAAACATCATTTGCACTTGTTCACAGAAAGTCCGTTGTTCGCCTCACATAACTGCCAAACGGAAAGTCTGTTGTTCGCAGCCAGTCCGTTGCTCGAGTCACGTAACGGCCAAACAGAAAGTCCGTTGCTCGAGTCACGTAACGGCCAAACAGAAAGTCCGTTGTTCGCAGCCAGTCCGTTGCTCGAGTCACGTAACGGCCAAACAGAAAGTCCGTTGTTCGCAGCGTTTGTTATTCGAGGCGTACGTTATACGAGGCACCACTGTACTTCTTCATAATGATTTTGGCAAAAAATTATTTCAAATAGGAAAATTTTTGAGAATTTTCATGATGTTTTCATTCTGTTGACACTTCCCTATCTGTCACAATCCTTCATAACATTGTTATATATCCCCTTTTCCTGTGCAGATGTTATATTTGAATGACCTCTATCTATACATACTGAATGATGTGTTGTTTACATTTTGGCAACCTTTTAAGAATTGACAGTACAATATTCCATATGTTTGAATTATGACAGTGATTTGTGGATATGAACATTTAGAAGGTAGATGGTCAGTTCATATTTTAGCATTAATTTCATTAGGTAGCTTTAGAATAAATTGTAACCTCATTAATAAGCAGAATTCATGATATAATAAATTCAGAATAAAAACAATAAATTAACTTCAATGAGTACCTTTGCTTTATTTTACTTTTGCATCTTCAGATCAAATACAAATGAAATATAATATTGAAATCAAGTCAGTTTAAATTTAAGCATTTAACTTGTTATAAAGAACTAGTAACACAATATTTCTAAATCAAATAATAATGGTTTGAAATTACATCATTTTCAGATATTATTTAAATTTGAATTTTGAAATTAGATATTTTTTAATAATTGTTAAATAAAATTTTTTTAACTTGCTAAGAAATGTGTTTAAATTACATAATTCCAGATATTATCAAAATTTAACATTGGCATGTTTTAAGCCTGAAATACATATCCTTTTGTGTCAGGAAACCTACTTTTTCCACTCAGTGTTCCTGTATGATTTGTTCTCAACAGACTTGTGCTAATTCCAAAAGAAATACATAAATTTATACTCATTTTCTCACTATAGTTGTTATTTATTTTCTAAAACTATATTCTTGCATCTAAATTATGGTGATTTTTAAATTAAAAAAAAAAGTAAAACTGCATCTCTATCATTACATAAGATTCGTTGCAGACATGGTCGGATTTACTGCCTCCAAATACAACCATGTTAAAAATAGAGTCATACAGTCTCTCTTCCCTGCCACCACATTGCGCAGACCAAGGGATTGGACAACGCTCCGTCCCTCACTCCCATACTGTGGACGCTTTACGGCCCGGATCTGCCGGATCTTTAGGCAGAATGGCTTTCGTTTACCTATTGCCCTACGACCATGTCTGCGACGAAGTAAAACTGCTTAATATTTAAGCAGTTTTACTTTTTTTTTAATTTAAAAATTTAAAGTAGGCATCTGAATAAGATAATATTTATCTTATTCAGATGCCTACTTTAAATTTGATATTCAAATCTAATGAACTGAAGAATCCAGTGTCATAAATAAGATTGTAGAATTCCTTGTTTATTTGACAAAAATATTCTAACTGATGACAACTGTGATTATTATAGTATAAAATTTAGTCAGAATTAATTGGGAATTTGTTTATAATTTTAAAAATTGATTATATGTTTGCTTTATTTTATTTATTTTTAATAATTAAGGCAAGAATGAAATCAAAACTTGAAGAATTTAAATTGCATTTGGATTGGATTGAATTTTTGGATTTGTCAAATGATTTAGCACCAATGACTTATGAGATGCAAAAGGAATTTGGGGAGTTAGAAGTATCAAATAAATCAAAAGGAGCTAATTCAGCAGATGATGATGCTCAAAATGATTTTAAAAGAGAATTAACTTTGTAAGTTGCATTTAAGAAATTTAATATTAACATAAACACATTCTTAATTAAATTGTGTTAGCTCTTTAATGTTTTAATTTATTTAATATTACTTAGCTACCGTCAAGCACAAGGTGCAGTATTGGAATGCATTCCTCGTCTTAAAAAACTGGGTGTACCCACTAAAAGACCAGATGATTATTTTGCTGAAATGGCCAAAAGTGATGAACATATGAAAAGGGTATGTTAAAATATAATTCATTATGTATATGTTTTAAATTTATATTTAAAAAGTTTTATGATAGAATTATATAAAAGTTGTATTAAAAAATTAAGATTCTTAAAATTTATTTTTAGATTAGAGAGAAACTTTTACATAAACAGTTAGTTATTGAAAGATCTGAGAAAGCAAGAAAGTTGCGTGAATTAAAGAAATATGGAAAGCAGGTAAATATATTTTAAATAAACTTATTATTTCTTACAATGAAAATTATTCTATATAATAAATTTCAAAAATTCTTTCTTTCAACAGTCTTGAGAGAAATTATGTGAGAAAATGAAGAAAGAATTACTAATATGCAATTTGTTTTTCTATATAATTTCTATAAAGATTTGAATAATTTTTCTATTGCAATACCAATGCAACAATTAATTCAAATCATGTTGGTTCAATTATAATTCTTTTACATATAACAGCACATTTCTCAAGCAAATGTTAACCTTTCAGCAGTGGGTTAGTCAGGTATGGTGTTATCTCTATGTAGTTGGGAAATTTTTAAAGTATTTTTCCATGCATTTTTTCTCATTACCATTTCAGAAAAAGATTTTATAAACAGTTATGTCTAGTAAAGAAAACTCTTTTTTTATTGTTACATAATTACTATTTTATGTAATTTTTTTTTTGTGGTAGTTTTTGGTGATATCTGCAAAATTCTTTTGCGGATATAGCCGTCGGTCACCAGTGCCACGTAATCACCCTTGACAGATATATCTGTCAATCACTGTTGAGTGGTTAAAGTATTTTCATATAAATAAAAATATGATGAAACAAAATTTGAATTACACTACTGTAACAGAATAAGATGAAGAGAAGATTTGATAATATTATTTGTGAAATTATGTAGAAATTTAAAATTTTCATAGCATTAGTTTGAGTGTATTAATAAATTAATCAGATATTCAATTATGCAAACAATGATTATAATTTCTTGTTTAAATCAGTAAGTATTATTGAGTGAATAAAAAAGAAAATATTTTTTTATTCAACTCCAGAATTCATTGAAATTCTACATGCTGAATTGATTCTAAAAATGACTAGATAAATGTATTTAATGCATTGACTGCTTCTGTTTTATTGAGTGAACTGCTGCTCAATTCCATTCTCAATTAGGTACATTACTGTATTCAGTAATCAGTTTATAATATTTATTCTTCTTTCAAATGGGTAACAAAAGCTTATTTTTGTCAAAAATACTTTCATGAGTTATCTTATAGTACATGAAATAGAAAACTTTTCAAATAGGCTGACTAAGAGATAAATCAATTAATTCAGTTAAAACTAAACATAATTAGAGATTATAATAATGGAATTTCTATCATAGATTCAAGGTCCATACAGACCGGAAAAGTTGGAAAATCAGGGAATAAGATTTTTAGCAGGAAAAGTCAAGGAATCTACAAATATTATGGAATCCATCTGTTGCTCTCTTCCTTTTTGATCCAAACACATCTTTAAATTCAGTTCAGTATAGGGAGTGTACAAAAATTGGAGCAACCAAACGTTGCAACAAATCTTGCTATTTATCTTGTAAACTATAAATGATAATGTTAACAATTTGAATTTTATTGGATAGAAGGTTTATGTCTATTTAAAATGGTGGATAATAGGGATGTGCAGCTGTGTGGAGGAGGGATAGCAATTGCACGTGAACACCAAAAATGTTAACATAGTGTCATTTGGGCAGTTAAATTTTGGATTGCAAAGAAATAGGACATTGAAATTAGTGTTGGTTTGTACATGACAGGATCTACAATATTATTTAGCAATAATAATCAAAAAATAGAATTTGTGAAGTTATAAGCTGATAAGTGTGCACGTTGAAGAAAATTTTCATAATGTCAAAGAAATTGCAAAGGAAATATGAACAGAAATGTACAAAACATATGTATATCATTGGAAAGAAAAATTTAAAAGGAATCAGGAAAGCTCCCAAAATGACTAATGCTGAACGATGCAGATTGTATACAGAGATAAGAAAACTGAACATGTCAACTCCAATGCAAGTATTTTGAGTGCCCCACCACCTGAACCGATAGATATTGACTTTTGACTGTGATAACCACCAAGGCTATTAATTTACATCTTATCTTTCTTCTAATAACAAAAAAGTGTATTCTTGCCTTAGACCTTGGCCAAATATTATGTAATGGAAAGGGGACAAGCAGAAACATTAATAAGTTGGAATAATGTCATAATTGGTCAGGGAATCACAGATGGAATTACCATATGGATTCTGTAGATTGATCAGATCAAATGCTTTATCATTATTCAGCATCAGATGGATGAAAAAAATCCAGCAATAAGTTGCTTGACTTTCCCAACATTTGATGGTGCTATCTGTTATATTTTGTTTAGAAAATCTTCATATTTTAACTGTTATGAAATAGCAAAAATATTAATTTTGAGGTAGGGAGGATATAAAAAATTATAAATGCAAATAACAAGTAAAATTGTCATTAAGTTTGATCCTATTGGAGATACACATGACTCCCTTTGTCTCCCCACCCTTTGATTTTTAATCACCAAAATTTAATAGCATCAATCCCCTAATACACAAACCTTCCTGCAAAATTTCATAAATTTTTAACAAAAAGCACAAGAGTTATTAAGCTTCAAATAGAGTGAACAAAATTGTGCCACCTACCCATCCACACACACACACAAACACACACTAATATCCATACATACAGAAAAACTCCCGAATTTTGGCATTTCTCGAAGTTTCAATGTGCTCAAGTCCAAAAATTTTAAAGTTTTGGGGTGTCATTTTTTGACCGATTGTCATACTTTCCCTCTGTTATATATACAGCCAGAAAAGTAAAAATTGCATTACATGTTTTGAAAATAATTATACTACCCTTTCCATCAAATAACTGATTTCAACAATAAAAAATCTGAATTACAGAGAAAAAAGTCATTGGATATTTGATTGAGATAAAATGCTAATCACTACAAAAAGAATTAGGCCTGAATATAAATTTTATTATTTAGAAGTCTTTATCACTGACTGGAGAAAAACTAAGCCTGATTAAGCCATGTTGAGTATTCATGAAAGATGATTTTAAAAAATATGTGAAATATATTCTTGTTCAGTGCATCAAAGTGAGTTGTTGATGTGGAAAAAATGTTTTAACAAAATATCAATGAATGCATCATTTATACACGGGAAAAAATGATTAAACTATGTCATTAAAATTCATGAAAATATTTTGTTCTCTTACATTATAAATTATTTTTCCAACCTTATTTCAGACACTATCTAATCTGTTATTTACATCTGTTTGCTACAAAATATGCTCATTTCTTATACTAAAAGAAGAACATATTTTGTAGATGATGGCCAATAACAGATTGTCAACTACAGTTTAACTTGTAGTTTACAATTTAACCTTATCCACATTTTACAGACTTTTCATTACTGTATTGAGGATAATGCCAAATCGAAAGAAGCATCCACAACTTCAGTTTCTATTTGATTTGTAGTTTATATTCAGAGAAATTACTTTCTTTTGCATTTGTCATATGCATATTTTCTTCTTGATATGATAAAATATACTAAAAATGTATCACAGAATATACACAAAAGCTAATCAAATACAAGAACACCAAACGAATTACCATGACTGATTGACTGCATCAAATGATTTAAATGAAATACAAGTTATCATGGAGTATATTAATGAAATAGTGCAGAATGGGACTGCTTTAAGTGGAATGCAAGTGTAAAGTTATTTTACTACAAAAGTTTGGAGTAAAATAAATATAAGTTTATTTTAAAAGATATTAAATTTAACATAAACATTTAACTTTATATGAATAAAATATTACTTAGTAGTAATAGTTATAAAATATTTTATTTGTAGATTCAACATGAAGTTCTTCAGAAAAGACAGAAAGAAAAAAAAGAATTACTTGAATCTGTTAAAAAATATAAGAAAGGTATAATTTATTAAGTTGTTAAACATATTGTAACATAATAATTATTTTGGAACATTCTAGCAGTTGAATTTTCAAATTGTCTAATTTTAGTTTTTAATGTTATTTAATATTTTGTAGAAGTACTTTATATTATTTGAGAAAAATATTTAAGAAATGTAAATTTTGATTTACTAAGCCAATTTCAATGACACAGTGCTTTTTTAATGGATACTGTAGTTCCCTTAATGCTGAATTTTGAGAACAAACAGGTCATTTAGCTGATATTTCTAAAATGATAAATTCAGCTTAACTCCTAATGATTCATGAAATATTTTTATTCAATAAAGATCAAAGATGATAATATAGCATTTTCTTTAATTTATAAAGCTTTTATTCTTTCTTAATTTGCAAAACATTCAATTCTGTTAATATTTAAACATATTTATGCTTAGTAATACTTGTAATACTAGACATAAGTCAGTGGTTCTCAAAAAAAAAATTGACAAAAAATTCTTGTGTCCCCTACATATTTCTTAGAAGTATTAAAGTAATACCTTACTTATGTGGCCACCTTTAAAGTATACAATTTCTGGCCACATAAGTGAAGTGGTTGCTTAAATGGAGTTATGAAAAAATTGATAAATTGAACTGTAATTAGATCCTGTAATTACTGAGCTAACCAGCTGTTTGACACAGTTTTGTCAACAAAATCCTGGGTCATGTCATAGGGATGTCTGCCATGGAGTGCCTTTCACACCCATGATTGCTTGATAATGTCTATGCTATTTATATGTTGTCATGTCCATACGTTGTGAATGTAAATTTAATAGTATATTATTTAATCCTGTAGAATTACTGCTTTATGTAACTGGGATGTTTCTAGTTTTTTGTAGAAAAACTCTCTCAATGTCTGTATTTGTTTGTAGTGTAGGTTAATTATGTCAATCAGGCCACGTCCGCCATCTTTAGGTAAAAGGGTTAATCTTTCTATGGCAGATTTGGGATGATGTTGTTTATGCTTAGTAAGTGTTGTTGTTGTTTTCATTTGGAGTTGCTCAAGATCTGTGTGAGTCCAATGTATAACTCCAAAAGAATAAGTAAGTACTGGGACAACATATGTGTTTATTGCTTTAACATCATCTTATTTGATCAGTGAATGAAATACAAGCATAAGAAACACAACAACTGTGATAAAAATATATAAATAAAACCTGAAATTAATAGAATATGGAAAAGTTCACGTCAAACCTTTCACCTTGTGACGGCACACCGGTTGCAGAACACTGAGTTATAGAAGAACATAAAATACATTTAATTAATTTATACAATAAAAATCTGTTTTAAATAAAACAATTTTAGAAATAGTTTTACTTATATGCACAATACATTTTTATAATTAATGTTTTGTGCATATTATAATAATAATTATAATTATTATTATATTATGCACAAAACATTAATTATAAAAATGTATTGTGCATATAAGTAAAACTATTTCTAAAATTGTTTTATTTAAAACAGATTTTTATTGTATAAATTAATTAAATGTATTTTATGTACTTCTCTAACTCAGTGTTCTGCAACCGATGTGCCGTCACAAGGTGAAAGGTTTGATGTAAACTTTTATTTATTATAATTAATTAAATATAATTTAATATAATTAATTAAAGAAAATTATAATTATTATTATAATATGCACAAAACATAAATTATAAAAATGTATTGTGCATATATCAATTCATAATAAATTAAGAATAATTTCTATATGTCAGCAATGAAAAGAACCAATAGGGAAGTGTATATAAATTCCTTTCTGATGATAAAGTATTTTTCTTTTATTAATGTATTATTATCTACATTATTATTATTAAATCAAGGATGATCATTTATTAATTTTTTTTTTTTATTAATAGTTTGTATCCAAATTTTTCTCTGTACTTTTGAATTTTACCATGTTTTCTTATGCAACTATGCATTTGTTTAAGTAATGTGCAGATTTATATAGATAAAAATGAAAAAGGAAAATGAGAAATATTCTATTATAAAAATATTTTTATAAATTTATATTTTTTAGAATTTAAATATTTAAAATTTTATAGAAATTTCTTATTTCTGAAAGATTTTTAAAATATTTTGCAGGTCAGAAAGAAAGTTTTGAATCATTTATGCAAGATACGTCTAAAAAATCTCAGCAATCAAAAAACAAAAGGTAATAAGTCATATTCTTTTGACTTACAATAGAAATATTAATTTTATTGCATCGCTAATTTGTCACAAACTATATTTAGTAAATCACCAATCTATTGTTCTGTGGATGGCTTAATCACTTTTTTTTATTATAAATATGGACATTTAATTAATTAGAAATTAACTTTATCTGAAAAATAATCCAGCAATTTAGCTTTAAGTTTAGTTCCAGAAAATAAATGACTAGATGATAAACTCATAAGAAAGGAAGTGGCCAGAGGTAGAATTGAAAGATAAGGCAGATTAATCTACAAACTATTTTTCAAATTACAAGAAGTCATTTTTAGCTTAACCCTTTACCACCGCCATCTTGTTTACGTTAATTTTGTAAACTGTCCAATGGTGATATAGGTCAGTCAGGCAATATTATTTTAAAAATTCACCAAAAAATCAAATTATTATATTCATATGAAAAAAATTACGTACATTTATTAATATCTTTAGTTTTAAATACAATATTTTTCAATACATTTGATTAGAAAAATTTATAAGAAAAAAATAATATATATCAGAACTGACATTTAAACTTGATAATTTGTATTAATTACCTAGCTTTTTTGCTGGCAATGAGCCAAAAAGACATAGAATATTGTTCTGTACGACTCTATATAACACTTATGCATGTACGTTTATTCGTTGTGAAATTATCACACATTATATCAAACATTTGTTTGAAACTAAAACTTTATTATGCTATCAACTAATATAATGAACTAATATACTTTATTTACTTCATATCAAACAAGAATATAAATTTTTGTAATAAACATATGATTACCAGTAGTAATACATGTAACATTTGCTGATATTTTACATTAAAATAAAAAATAGAAAATAAAAAAATGTATAAAATGTCAGAACTGAAAGTCACAACTTGAATATTTATAACACATTGACTTATTACAGCATAAATGAACTTATTACAGTAATATTATTGCATGAATATGCTAAAAATGAAATAAAAAATTATCAGAAAAAATAAATTAAGAAAAAAAAAGCATTAATTAAAATTTTTTAAGTCAACAAAACACCACTTGGACAAAAATATGTGAAACAGATGATATACAAGACACTGCCGTCAAGTGCTGACATCTGTTGTTACAAAAGTCAATTTTTACTAGGTTAAAGATGAATAGGTATCCTCAAAGTTTTGCTTAACAACGGGGGTATCACCCGATCGATACTTTCAAGGGCAAAGGGTTAATTTTTGTAAAAATGAATTGACTTATTAAGGAATAAGATTTTTTCTTATATGGGCAAATAAAATAAAAATTAATTTGTATACTAGGCCTAATTTTATTTGAATCCATGCCCTTTGAATCATTTAACCAACTGCACCTGTCAGAAATTGCATAAATGAGTCAAAATACATAATTTACCAAACATGCTTAATTTACTTTTAATTTAACAAAAGCACGGTCAGAAATAAGAAACAACATGGAATGCAAACAACAATTACTTATAAACTCCATTATTCTTCAAGAGCACGAATAACAAAGAAATCTACACATGACAGATTACAGAAAATCATTCAATAGAATCCCACATTCATGTTTATTGCAAACACTTCAAAAAACAAGAAATATCACAATTACACAAAGCTGTAATTCTTGCACTCTAAAACAATATGCCAGGAGTGGCCAAACTTTGATACAATAGGAGTCATAAATTACCTATTAGAAATAGAATCAAATACAAATACCTATTGGAATGATATTTTATATTATATATAGTTAAAATACTATAGTTTTTATTGTTCTGTAATAAATATCATTATTATCTTACTGGTATTTTATAAGTGGTTAGGTAACTATTCATTTAACTCTCTCAAGTTTATGAATCTATTCTTAGCTTTCAATTGACTGTTCAAGGTTAAATTGCAAATTTCATTTACAATCCATATGTACATAATACTAAATAATGGCACACCTATCAAAATATTGCATATGTGTAACTACTTTGTACCAGGTCTATAAAAGTAAATTTATAAGGATACAGGAGCTATACATGGCTTGCAAGCTGCAGTTTGGCTACCATGGTAATATACCATTAAACCTACACAACACTGACCTGGGTCTAATACAGTACACAAAATATATAGACACCACCAGGCAGTCTTGGTCTCAATAAGAACTCCATAGTTGATTCCATGGAGTTTCTATTGAAAAAAGATTAATCCTGTAGTACTTTATTTCTTTTAATATAAGCAGATGCTTTGATTCTACTGTGTGACTTTTTCAGTATTAAACTATTTAAAACTTTTTATATAAATTATAAAACGTTTAATGGTGTAATTTATGAATTAATGCTTCCTTCAATTATTTCTCTAGGTCAAAGATAAAACAACAAAAGAAAAATGAGAAATATGGTTATGGGGGCAAGAAGAAAAGATCAAAATATAATGATGCTAATAGTGCAGGGGATATTTCAGGTTTCAAAAGCAAGAAAGTTACTCCATCAGGAAAAAAATTTAAGGTAACAGGACTTCATTTTTCTCATATATAAACCTATATATTGTTGTTAAATTCTTAAAATTACACACATACAAACAACTAAATATATATATATATATATGTATGTATGTATATAGTCTGTGTGTGAGCAAAAAAAAACATTATATATATATATAAATTTTTTTTGTTTTTTACTCTACTTTTTTCTGATTAATGCAAACAAAGTTGTTTACCTCTCCCATATTTTTCAAAATTAGTTCAGAAAAATGCAATTATTTGAAAGATGAAGAAATTTTTACGTTTTAACTGTGATTTATTTTATAGAATTATTTTTGAAAAATGCAGCCCCAAGCCTAAGCAGATGCTTTTCTGGTGCTTAGAGTTATATGTATATATATACTGTACAGTTGGATTTCCATATTACATAATGATCCTACATAATGAATTTTGAATTTTTCTGTAGAATTTTGAAAATACATCATTTTTTATATTCACTACTGATATATTTTTCATTTGACAAATTATCCATGTTTCCTAGAGTCAGTTGGTTATACGGAAATTCAACTTTATACATATATATTCATGTCCAAAAATAAGCATAATCATCAAATTCTACAGGAAGTCAAGATGCAGTCTACAGAATGATTCTCATCAGATTAAAATTTGTAAAGAGTGGGGTATCCAAAAAAGTCACATTAACATTATGAAAAGAATCAGTTTGCAATGGTAATAGCATTATCTGGGGTGGCATTATGCTTAATAGCCAGATTGAGCTCTGCTATTTTGCAAGGAGTACAGAGATGAGGTTTTGGAACACTGTGAGACTTTCCTGAGATGCTGGATGTGCAGATTTATTGAAAATGAAGATATTTGTTGCATGGAATGGCAATCAACATCTCCAAACCTAATTTCATAAAATGTGTGCAGAATACTCTTTGGATACAAATTGCATATTGCCAGCCTCCACCAGGAACACATCAAGAGCTTCAAGATGCCCTTATTCATAAATGGACTTTGCTACCAAATAGAGCTGATAAACTACCTTATAACTAGCATGAACAATAACTGTAGCATGCATTCATGCAAGAGGAACCACTCATCATATTAATCATTTTCTGTATAAAATGTTTACAATGATGCTTAGTATTTTTTCTTGTTGTTTTTGATTAGAGATAGTTCACATGAAATTTCTGTTTTCCAATTGTTTTATTGCATAAAGAATACAATGTTTTGAATGTGAGTAAAATGTTTCATATCTCAGGAACTAATGATCAAAACAAGTTTCATACTGTTCTGATCATTAGTTCCTGAGATATAGGCCAAATTAATGGTTTTGTATATTTTTTTGGACTTACGTAAATATAATTTATTAATTTTCAAAATTATTGATATATATTTTATTTAAAATATGTAAATAGACAAAAAAGTTACGCACCCAGACAGAATTGCTTGATTACTGCAAACTGCATATAACTTTGTCTCAGAAAAGTATGTAAATGATTACAGTTCTGGCCCGATTCCCCACCAAGTAATGCCACCAGAAGTCGCAGTATTCTTTAAGAAGAATCGCAGAGCTCGCCGTGTTCAGAATTTTTACTGTAGGCTATCTGTTCTTTAGAGGTCTTTGAAAGCTGAGTGTGAGGATCGCAGGCCCGATTTTTGCGCTAAGTTTACTGTTTTGCTGAACTTTTAGTCATATGGCCATTCTAACTTGACTATTGGAAAGTGTTGGGACAGTGGATATGGCATACAAGCCTGGGCGCTCAGACTGCACGAGAGATGATCCTCTGATTGTGAGACAGGAACGAACAGCTGCAATGGCGTCTTTGTCCACCATTCAGAGATAGGCAGAAAGATTCGCTACAGAATCCCTACCATTGACGGCAGAAACAAATTTGCATCATGGAAACTGCTATGGCTTTTAGCGCCCCAACATCGTTGACTGTCAATGGTGACTATCGTGTTATAGTGTGGAGGACGCTTCAATCCTGCTTTTATTGTTGAGAGGTATTTGATCCCATTACTGGTGTGCTGGTCCGGGGAGTAATTTTTGTGTGACAATCAGTCATTCCTAGCAGTGATTAATATCAAGACAGTACGTTCATATGCAAACAGCCATTTTTCAGCAAAATAATGCTCAGCCTCGCACAACGTAACGGAGACATTCCCAGGAATGTCTCCGTTACTTTTTTGGCCAGCAAGTGTCCAGATTTGGCGACCATCGAACATTTGTAGGAAAAGATGGGCATCTGCTTCAGCTGACTACGACCGGAGTGGAAGTTGCAATATCTGTGGGCAAATTTGTCAGAGGATAGCATATGGTATTTATTTGTTTCATGTCTGACAACACCGCTTGATGTAACAATCAGGAGGAGCTCAAACAAGTATTAAAGGTTCCTTTTGTATCGTTGCTGCACAGGAAATTGCCCAATTGCAATGATAATCACTTATTACCATATTAAGTTCTCACTAATAAAATTCTATTCGATTCCAATGCCTTCTTCTTGGTGCATAACTTGTTTTTAATCAAATGAGTATGAATAAACTTAATACAGATTAAAATATAATCAATGTTAAGTTTATCACTAAATTAATTAAATCATTATTTAAATGATACATATTGATAATTATATATATATTTTTTAAATTTNATTGATAATAAATGTTTTTCTTTATTACAGCAAATGAGACCTAGTAAAAATATAAGAAAAAGACTGAAAAACAGAAAAAGAAGATAATTTTCCTGTTTTGAAACAAAGTTATTTCTTGAATTTTTATGTAAATAAAATACAAACAAAATGAAAATTGTTATATCTGTTTTAACTTTATTTATGTATTCATTTAATTGTTTTCTAATTAAATTAACACTTACTTGTATTTATAATTTATCAGTTTGTAATAATTAAATTTTCTCTTCAATTACATATATAACTATTTTTTTAAAAGCATTTTACAAATTAGGAATGCCTTAGATGCAATCTTTAGAACAATGATTCTGTAATTGTTAACCTTTTTTTGGTTGTTTTCATTCCTTGAATTTTTAAATTGCACCTTCCCACATTCATGAAAAATTAAGTTAATGGATCTTTCACATAAGATTATTGCATTTTTCTTGTATATTTTACCATAACTTTTTTAATTGCTTAAGTTGTATTTAAAGAAAATTCATCTATGTTCATTATTCAGCATAAAAACATTTAGTTCTTCAGGGACCCTGCTATTAGTACAGGAAGAGAGATAAATCTATAGGTTTCACTATCTCTAGATGGTGGATAAAGACATCATTACATCTGTTCATGCTTCTCTCATAATCTCTACTGTCAGGCATCCAGAGCTTACCCACAGTGTGTGTCTTGACATAAGCACTTCCTCCAATGCCTCATCACAATAGGTCAGAATGGCCTAGCAACAAAATGACCATCTTGCTTTCCTCAGTCCAATGATGCTGCATTACTCAAACTCCATCAGTTGTGCATAATGTCTGACTGCAGTGTCTGGAGGTTGAAACAAAGATCAATGTACCCTGTACCCTGCCCGCTTAAAAATTCAGGAATAGTTGCATTATCAACCATGTCCAATCAACAGCTACACAATGCATATTGTGTGCAATAGGAAACTATGACTACAATTACAAGGGATGATCAAAAACTAAGGTTACAAAGCCTGCAGTGAAAAGGTACATTTTATTTCACACAACCAATACAGCTAATGTATAATAATGTATAATGTACAGTACTATCAGCTGATAGTACTGTACATTAGGTTATTTTTTGACATAGTCTCCATATTGGTTTAGGCACTTGTCACTTCATGTGATGAGTTTGAAAATTCCCTCCTGGTAAAAATGCTGACCTTTTATGTTCAGCCAAGTTGTCGCAAGTGTTTCACTTCCTCGTCTGAAGTGAATTGTCATCCTGTTAGGTTCTCCTTCAAGTGAGGAAACAGGTGAACATTGCTTGGAGTGAGGTCCAGGTTGTAGGGAGGGTGGTCGATGATGTCTCAGCGAAACTGCTTCAACTGGTGGTCTGGGCTGTATGAGGACCTTACTCCAAACGGCTTTCACCTGTTTCCTCACTTGAAGGAGAACCTAACAGGACAATGATTCGCTTCAGACGAGGAAGTGAAACACTTTGCGACAACTTGGCTGAACATGCAAGAACAGGATTTTTACCAGGAGGGAATTTTCAAACTCATCACACGAAGTGACAAGTGCGTGTGATGAGTTTGAATGTATTGGTTGTATGAAATAAAATATACTCTTTTCACTGCAGGCTTTGTAACCTTAGTTTTTGGTCATCCCTTGTAGTATAGATGCTGGTTTTATTGACTGATATTAAAAGGGCATGTAAAACAATTGGAAAATGTATAATTTGAAGATTTACTAATCATAATTATTATTAATTAATGGTAATACATCTTATAATAATAAACCCTTGCAATTAGTGACTTTTAATGTCTTTTGCATATCAAAGTTGACAAGACCCTCAAATTAAAGGTTGACTGCCATGATCCTCTTCAGCCTATTTTATCTGATCCTGGGATATGAAAAAGGATGAATTGTGAAGAGACTTAATGTTTGTTCTGAATCTCTGAAAATTTTTATATCTGGTATTGTTTGCCTGATATTTTCTTGCAACATTGTCTTTGACACCTGTTTGCTAATAATTGGCATAAGAAACTTAACTATGATGATTATAAAAAATAATATAATTAAATAAATATGTAACATAAATAGGTTAGGACATTTCTACACTAGAATTGAAACAAATTTTCCGTCCCAAAAATAACAATTAATTTGTCAAATGCTAGAACAAAAGCAGAAGAAATAGGGAACTTTGTTTAGCTCCCCAGTCAATACAAGTTTTAATTAAATGTCTTGCAAACATTCTCTTTGTTGGTGTTTCAACAGATGCTAGCAATCTTAATAGTACAAAGAGGTTTCCAATTATCCACAATATTTTGACTACAAGAATGGGGTTTAAAGTGGTCAATGTTGGTCAAACCTGAATGAAACAGCTGAAAGTGTTACATGGCTTTTAGGGTAATAATTACATCACAATGTTTAGTAGTCTTGTAAGAAGCAATGGTAACAATGTCTTTACAAATGTAACCAAATAGTAGGAGTGGGATGCCCTACACATATTCTTAATAATTGCATTCAGTATGGCATGGATTTTCTTGCATTGATTTACAAGCTTCATAGTAAAGATTTATAATTACTTTTAAATTTGCAATGTCAATATTGAGCCCTAAAAGAGTTGTGAGTTCATTGCTGTAAATGACCAGTAACTTCTTAACACAGCAAAGGACAATGACTATTTCCAATGTTCAAAGACTTTTACAAATGTTTCCAGCTCTCAAGTCATTCTTTTTTCAGAACAAACCACCTGAAAAAAAATTTTGGATCCATTAAGTAAAAACCTATTTATGGCATATTCAGTTCCTAATTAGTGTATTTCATACTCATATTAGCAAATTAGAAAAGGAAGAATTGATGTAATGAAAATCCTTTCATCCTTAAAAGATTTTTTTCAAGAAAGAAAGGCTATCACTCATGCCACTCAAACAGGACACGAATCTGCTAATTATTGGATAGATTATTATTCATTCATAAATGTGTAATTACAGATGTAAATATATGAAGCACTACTTTATTACTTAAAAAATTTATTTAATATTACATACTTTATTTACATTGTAAATAATTACATTTGAATTCACAAACACATATCACATTTACATTATATTGTTAAAATAAAAACAATCATGTGGCACAGATTTATAATATTATATTAAAACAAATAATTATTTTACAATTAATTACACTGGCTGATTTGCTAATTATATACAGCACTGAAGATAAATCAAATTTAGTATCTGTTTGTTTAAAAGAGTACTATTACTTTTTTTAAAATGTCTTTATTTGTAGTTTCAAGGCAATCTTCATTTACCCGTATATTCAGGATTATTATAATCTACAAACACTCTCACTACTTCGCCAGAATATCGTCTCTGATGAGGCATAAAGTAAAAATCTGGCCGCAGTTCTTGCTGGCTGTATGCATTTGCACTCATTGATCGCATAGATCTATCATGAGTAGCATAAGATGGTGGGCTTGATCCACTCTGTCCATTACCACGTCTCAATGCCATTCTTTCAAATGTTGCACTGTATCCACTATTACGAGGCAGAGGCCTATCAGGAGGACCTACTCTGGATAGTCCAAGCCCGCTGTTTGCATGTGACAAGGCACTTCCATTAGATACAGAACCTACTGGATGTTTACTGATTTTATTTTCATCTTCTTGCATAGCAAAATTTTCATAACTATAATTACTGCTTGCGGTGACCGAATAATCTCTCCAGTGTGAATTATTTAAAAGCTTTTCCTAAGTGAAAGAAAAAAATCAAAAATTAAGTAAATTTAATATAGTAACATATATTTATATTATTTCATTATACTGAATTGATCCAAAATCATGGTTTAACCTAAAAGTTATCACTATTTATTGTAAAAAAATATTTATATTAAGAAATTGTACAGAAAACTTTATTAAAAATTTTTCTTAAGAAGTTACAATAAATATTTTAATGTTAATTTTTAGGAGACGATAATCTCATAACTATAAACTATATATAATTTTATTAAGAAAACAAAATATAAGTTTGGTTTGGTTTTTAAGTAAATTTGTTTTGAATTTTTTGAATTACCTCAACTAGACTTTTTGCTTAATTGGTGTTAGTATTTTGATTTGTCTAAATAAGTTGATAGAAAATTTGAAAATTAATTGTGTTAAGCTATTATAAAACAAATGAAGTTTTTTTTAGATGATTAGGGATGGACTGAATAGAGTTTTTTTTATGAATACTGAATAATTATTTAGATGTTACTGTTGTCAAGTACCAAATATTTGGCCAAATATAAGCTCTTTTACTGAATTTGAACTGCACTAAACAAAAAGCTTATAATAGTTTTTTTCAAACTTTTTTGGATTACCACCCTCTTTTAGTGTTTACATTTCATTAGCAACCCCCCAAAAACAGTCAAAAATGGTACATTGAAAACTAAATTTTAATTAAAATGTTATTAAGTTTAAGCATTTGATTTATAAAGAAAAAATAATTTTCCAAAAATATCTTAAAGTACTTGATTAATTAATATTAAAATAATTAATGATTGGCCTAATTCAATGAGACAAATTTTTTTACATCTGCCTCAATATTAATAAGCAGCATCCTTAAATTTCCCAATCAACTATTTGCAGTCAAAATAAGATGACAAACTCTTATTATGTTAAACAGTATGTTGCCAGATTCTTTCAAACACTGAAAGAAGAAGCAATTTATAACATTTTCACAGAAAAACTTTTGAATAAAATTATGATGGAAGTTTTGTGGACATTGCAGCTTCAGTGTAATAGTTAACTTATCAAAATGAAAAAATATGATTTATCCTGCCAGTATTTAGCATTGTTTAAATAAAAAAGCTTGACTTTTCCATCTTCTCCTAAATAGTTGCATTAATTAATTGCATATAATTACTTGCAATAATTATATGCAATTAATAACAACAATGATATAGTGCAAAGTAGACACTATATCATTACTGCAACGGGTAGCAGATAGCACTCACCTGTGTGGAGTCGAAAATTTTACACTGCAAACTATGCAAGTATTTAATTTTTCACATCTAACAACTGGAGGTTTTTCATTTCTGAATGATACTTTCTTAATTCTAATAAGTGCCTATCAGTGTCTGAGTGGATAAAACCATCAAATACTGGTGATTGGTTGGGGGTTTGCACCTCTCCAATGGGCATTGAGTTTTCAGGATTTGATTCATGTTAGTTAGACTGGTCCCTATTTAGTTCAGTTAAATAGGGACCAGTTTTCTATAAAAGTTCTTGGTAGATCAGCCACATGTTGCCTTGCCATAACCAAATAAACCAAACTACTACTAATTTTTCTATAAACCTGCTATTTATGAACATACCTTCCATGTAGTTTATAAGCATTCTGATAATGTTCTTAAATGGGTAATACCAGATACATTTTTGAAATTTACAATTAATAATGCTGGGTGTAAAAATTATTGTGATGGATACTTTATAAACCCAAGTGAAATTGGACATAACAGCTAGTTTTTTTATATATTATTAATAAGATCCTGCTATCAATGAGCCTAAAGCTGATGACTGTTTTATGAGCAACTGTAAATTTTTATAATAAATTCATAATTATTTGATAAACTAAACTAGTTATTGGTACTAACTATTGGAAGAATTGATCAATTTCGACAATAGTTAGTACCAATAACTAGTTTAGTTTGCTTGATTAATGTGATTGAAAATTATATATTTTCTCAATACATTTATTAAGAGAAATGCTTTAAGCAATCTATGCATAAAGTCTCTCAAAAACTGATTTTACAGTCTATCTCTGCTTGAAGTTCAACAGTAAAAGATTTTTCTTTCAAAATGAATTTTTATTCCTCTTGTCTTCCAAAGCCTCTAATGCCCTCTTGCTTTCCAGCACCCCCTTGAGTCTTCTCCCAAGAGGCTGTAGTGCTCACTTTGGGAGCAAATGGAATTGATTAGAAGTCTATATACCTTTTATTTTTAAAAATTTATTATTATGTGATGAATAGTAAAAAACTAATTCTTGCTATTGGGGTCAGGTGTTTTTGGCAGTCCCACAAACTATAGTGTACAAGGGTTAATAAAAAAAAAAAAACAAGGATTACATATCAATTATAAAAAAGAAACATGTCTCAGATAACAATAAGATGTTATATATATATATATATATATATAAACTTTTTCAACACATTCACCTTGTTGATTCAGACATTTACCTGATCATATGACCAGCTTTTCCATTCCAAGTTGAAAGAAATCATGTCCCTGCTGTTTCAGCCATATTTCTATACGGCTGAAACAGCAGGGACATGATGATTTATCTGGCACCCAATTCTGTTGTGACAATGATGTGAAAGCAGCTACTTTTGTAGATGTTTCTTATCATCATCGAATTGGGTGCCAGATAAATTTTCTTTGAGGAGAGGTAAAAATCACTGTTGGTAGATCTGGACTGTAGACAGGATGTTTCAGTTCCCACTTGAATTTTTGGAGCAATTGTGGTATGTGAAGAGCAGTGTTAGGCCTCACATTATCATGCAGGAGTTTCAACATTTATGCCAGTTTATTTAATATAGCTTCCTCAGGTTTAACATAATTTTTGAATGTCAATTCAAATAAGATTATATAAGAGAACATAAGATTTAAAATTTTAAATCTTATGTTCTAATTGTAATTATGTTAAAGTGATAAAGGTGTTTTTTTTAATATTATCTAGAAGTTCTAGCTTACAGCGCATAGAATTTATGATGACCAACAAAATTGCTTACTTCCTATGAATGCAGACACATCACTGTTCTTTCATTACAATTTATCAGTTTTGAAGTATCAATATTAATAATTAATAAATGATCTTGAGCAAATATTATTTAAGTTATAATTTTTGGAAATACCAAATGATCTGCCAGATTGTATCAGACTATATTATGGCTGCATTTAATAATTAGATATAAAGTAATTATGCCTAGGTAGGTAGGCAATTTAGTGACCATCTCATAATAAATTTAATAATTATAAAAAAATTAATATTTAACATTTAATTTAGGAAGAATCCTAGAAGGAAATAATCAGCACAAAATGAGACTCAAACCCTGCACCGTAAGCAGGAGTTGTGGGTTTGAATCGCATTATAATTATTAAGTTTAGCCACAAAATAGCCCAATACAATCTGGAAGATCATTTAGTNATAAAAAAAAAACAAGGATTACATATCAATTATAAAAAAGAAACATGTCTCAGATAACAATAAGATGTTATATATATATATATATATATATAAACTTTTTCAACACATTCACCTTGTTGATTCAGACATTTACCTGATCATATGACCAGCTTTTCCATTCCAAGTTGAAAGAAATCATGTCCCTGCTGTTTCAGCCATATTTCTATACGGCTGAAACAGCAGGGACATGATGATTTATCTGGCACCCAATTCTGTTGTGACAATGATGTGAAAGCAGCTACTTTTGTAGATGTTTCTTATCATCATCGAATTGGGTGCCAGATAAATTTTCTTTGAGGAGAGGTAAAAATCACTGTTGGTAGATCTGGACTGTAGACAGGATGTTTCAGTTCCCACTTGAATTTTTGGAGCAATTGTGGTATGTGAAGAGCAGTGTTAGGCCTCACATTATCATGCAGGAGTTTCAACATTTATGCCAGTTTATTTAATATAGCTTCCTCAGGTTTAACATAATTTTTGAATGTCAATTCAAATAAGATTATATAAGAGAACATAAGATTTAAAATTTTAAATCTTATGTTCTAATTGTAATTATGTTAAAGTGATAAAGGTGTTTTTTTTAATATTATCTAGAAGTTCTAGCTTACAGCGCATAGAATTTATGATGACCAACAAAATTGCTTACTTCCTATGAATGCAGACACATCACTGTTCTTTCATTACAATTTATCAGTTTTGAAGTATCAATATTAATAATTAATAAATGATCTTGAGCAAATATTATTTAAGTTATAATTTTTGGAAATACCAAATGATCTGCCAGATTGTATCAGACTATATTATGGCTGCATTTAATAATTAGATATAAAGTAATTATGCCTAGGTAGGTAGGCAATTTAGTGACCATCTCATAATAAATTTAATAATTATAAAAAAATTAATATTTAACATTTAATTTAGGAAGAATCCTAGAAGGAAATAATCAGCACAAAATGAGACTCAAACCCTGCACCGTAAGCAGGAGTTGTGGGTTTGAATCGCATTATAATTATTAAGTTTAGCCACAAAATAGCCCAATACAATCTGGAAGATCATTTAGTATTAATCAAGAATAAGGTCATTCAACGTTTATGTCAGTTTATTTAATATATTGTTTCGGAAAAGAATAAGTAACAGTATTTTTAAATATCTGAGTTTTTAAATGTCCTTTTTATTTTATTTTTCCATCTTCCTTCTTTCTCTCTCTCTCTCTCTCACCCAACTAAAATATATTTATTTGACCAAATAGTTCGGCTTTGAGGAAGTATTTGGTCTGAATATCAAATACATGTATTTAATATTTGGCTGAATACCAAATACTTACTTTGTGGTCAAATATGAGGGTGGATTTTTTCAACCTCTGATGGTCCATAAAACAAGGATAAATAATTTGTGTAAATAACAAAATTAATTTATTATCAAAAGTTAGGCACAAACATGGTTCTTTTTGATATAATCACTGTGAAGATTGGGGCATTTGTCATATCTGTGGATGAGCTTTGCAATCCCCTCTTCATAGAATGTTGCCACCAGTGACTTAAGATGGGTCTTAATGTTGTTTTGAAGATCATCATTAGTCTCAAACCTCTGTCCTCCTAGCCACGCTTTCAGTTCAGGGAAGAGGCAGACATCTTCACACATTAAAGGTGTGTGAAGACTTCCATCTTTCAGACTTTCATCCGGCTCAGAACATTTTAAACACCCAGCGTATAGCCCTGATTTAGTGCCGAGCAACTTCCAACTCTTTCCTGAACTGAAAACATGGCTAGGAGGGCTGAGGTTGGAGACTAAAGACGATCTTCTAAACAACATTACGTCCCATCTCAAGTCACTAGCAGCAACATTCTATGAAGAGGAGATTGCAAAGCTAATCCACAGATATGACAAATGCCTAAATCTTCATGGTGATTATATCAAAAAGTAACGATGTTTGTACCTAACTTTTGGTAATAAATTCATTTTGTTATTTACACTTGTCTTTGTTTTATGGACCATCAGAGGTTGAAAAAACCACCTACATATATCTAAATACTGAATAATGCCAAATATTTGGTCCAACACTACAAATTGTAATAATAAAGGATGTTTATAAAGTCTGTTTCAGCAAAATATTGATTTTTTAATTGAAAAATCCCATAAAAATGAATGTATAAAAATGTATTTACATTGTGTCCAAGAAAGAAATCCAAAGAAATTAGAAGTTTGAATGAAAGTTTCATAAGTCAATGTCTTTCAGATAAAACAATATTGAATTATTAAATAAATTTGAAAAAGCAAGATCTGTTAATGATGAACCAAGTTGTGGACATCCCACATGTCACACAACATTTATTAAATACATCACAAAATGCTAATATAGAAGAACTGCACACAACAATTAATGCTACATCATATGAACTAAGACCCAATTCAAACATCACATTTGTAAATTTTCTCATTAAACAGCCTATCTTCATTGAATATATTTTATTGAATTTAACAGAATTATCAATTATTTCTAATTTAAAAATAGGATATGCAAAGTAATTAGGTTAAACTCTGTAACACAATCATAGCGTTATTCATAATGCAGATAACTTGCAAATGCATTGTGGTTCTAAACTGTGAGGACAAACTTTGGGAATAGGTTCCTGGTATGGCAAAGAACAAAATTAGTCCTATTTACTTATGTGCAAAAATGCACTGATAATGGGCATCATAAGCTGCAAAACCAGGATATAACATTGTACAACAGTATGACATGTATCTCAGGCAGAATGACAGTAGATGATCAAAATGTTCACCATGGGCTTCAATACAAGTTGTCACATGTTGCATTATATTGATGCACTCTTTTGAATGTTTCTGCCTGTATCTGAACAGTGTTACAGTTAGCATCTAAATGTTGCTCCAATGTCCATTAGGAACTAGTTCAGTGTACACAACATAGCACTTTTCTATGTCACTACATGTAAAAATCAAGAGGGTTGAGGTCTGGCAACAGACAGGCCTCTCCAACCTATTCATCTATCAGGGAAGGTGGCAAATAAGAACACAGAAGAGAGCCTATCTCTGCACTAGTGCATTTCTAGACATGTTGATAGGACCATTTTTGTTCTTTGTCCTATCAGGAATCTATTCCCAAATTATATCCCCATAGTTTGGAACAACCCTGTATATAGGAAAAAATATACAAAACAAGTTCTTATACATTACACATTATGAATTATTTTTAATCATGAAAAATTATTATAAAATTATTCTAACAAATATATATTTATAAATGAGGCTAATTAAAAAATATATATACATATTCTTTTAGAATCAAAGGCATCATGCTATTTATTTTTTTTTATTAAAGTCTTGTTTTTTCTATTTATTTTAAAATATTTTTATTACAACATTTTTTGTATAAAACTATGAATACTGNTTTTTTTTTTTGTTCATTTACTTCCTATTTAGATTAATTTTCATTAAAAGTTGTTAAGTCTCTATGTATAAAAATGTTTCCGTAACAAATAAAAATAATAATAAGTAAGCATGATTTCATGTTTTATTCTTTATTACATCATCGTCATCATCATCATCACATAATTTTAGTGTTTCAAAATTTAATACATTTCATATAAAAATACATTTGTCAAGTTGTATAATAATTTAATTTTTCAATAAAATATTTCTCATATTTCTTACTCTCTTAATGTAATTTAGCATACATATTAAATGAGATTTGGTTATATATGCATTAATTCTTGCTGTGGCTAATTATAATTCATTTTAAATTAATAAAGTACATTTTTTGTTTTTAACAAGTTTTTAATTATTTCCAAATGATTTTCATTATTGTAAGTAATTTATAAGGGGGATGAAAGGAAAATAATCAAGAAAAAATAATTTTCAAAACTGCTAGATTTTAGCTATATAGTATTAATGTTAACTTTAAGTAATTACTATTAAAATTTGTATATTCTAATTATTAATATTTATTCAAAATTTCTTATAATAATAAATTTTAATTAATTAAAATTTATTATTAGAAGCAAGTTTAAACAAAATGGCAGTAACATCACCACATATTATTAGGACAAAATTTCAATTGTAATTTATTAAAAATTAGCATTAATATAGTCTGAAATAATCATAAGTGTAGATGTAGGCAGAGTAATGGAAATCATGATTTTGATTTATATTAAGATTCAGAAACAGTTTTTTGATCAGTAGAAAACAGTTTGAAACTACTAGTTGCAAATTAATTTTATGCAATTTTATGAATATTAAGTTTTTCTAGGAAAATTATAATTTCCTTTTTTTAATACTGTTTATAAAAGGATTCAAGAAATTTATATAATTTGTAAATCCATAATAATAATAAATACACAAAAAAAAGACCTACCTTTGTATGAGATCCTTGTTTATTCCTCCTGTCACGATAAATCATGCAACTAGCTTGTACAATAATTAAAAATACCAAAGCTAATACTCCAGCTATGATAATGTAAATTTTGATTTGTTCATCTGTTAGACCCTCTTTAGTTGATTCTATATTGACAAATAATTATTTTAATTATAAGAATTATACAACAAATTTTTTATGATTTGAAACTTCAAATTAATTAATTTTCATAACTATTGTTTCATTATTTAATAAAAAATATATACCTTGATCAATAGGTACTTCATATGGTGTTCTGTCTTGAGCAGCTAGGCAAATTTATTTAAAACTTTGTAATAAGATTATCATTTTAAATTCATATAAATACAATAAATAATTCTTACATGCCAAAGCAATGATGCTTAAATGTGAAGGATCAACAGGTAAATTTCCAAGTTTTCCATTGTGAATTGTTGAATTTAACACAGAATATAAATCCTTTTGTTTACTTCGTTCTTCAGTGTTAATTTGTCTGCCTTCTTTAGATGACATATTATTGGATAATATCACTTTCATCTTTGCAATAACATCATCTGGTTCAGTTTTATCACTGAAAGTTTTAAAAATTCAAAATATTGTCATTTAAACAGAAAAACTGTTATACTTAAGGCAGCAACAAACATTATGTAAAATAATACCTTTCAAATTTATCAAGTTCTACAGCTTGAAAACCATTAACAGGACCAAGAACTGATTTCATCTATGTATAAATGAATATTAAATATATTATTCCAATATACAAATAAATAAGCTTATTTTGTCATAAAAATTATTTTAAACAAATTTTTAATGTGGCAAATCTTATTTATGAATATAAATATTGAAAAATTTGAATACAATAGTGTTATATTAATATTGAAATAAATTTTGAAATAATAATATTAAAATAAATAAAGTCTTGTATCACTTTATCTTTAATTTTCTTTAATAACAGCTTCTTTAAAAGTGGATTTAATACAATAAAAACGTTTTTGATCTATTCACAGGTCTTTCTCACTTAGAATCTACAGATATGGAACAACTGAGGAAGACATATGAATAGGTCAAAAACATTTTTACTGTATTAAATCTACTGCTAGAAGCCAATAAAGTGTGTTTCATTGTCTCACATCTAGTTTGCTCTAATAACATTTTAGCTGCTTTAAAAATATTTATGATTATACCACTTTCAATAAACTACAGCTATGACCATTTAGAATATATTATTTACATAAAAGTTAATACTTTATCAAATACTGTGATAACATCTACATATTTAAGAGCCTTAATTTGTTCTTATTTTTGGCTTCTTTTTACCCTGTGAGCACAAAGACAGCTTTTTTTTTGCCATACCCATCTTGAATTTTGATCAGGCCCACAATGAAAGCAACCAGGTGGTGAGAGATAGGGTCCAATATATCCAAGATAAATCTCCCATGAAAAATTCCTGGAATTGCTTGTCCAGATTTGATTCTGTGTCCTCAGAGCACTAAAATTATGCATTAACTGTCTTAACTATCTGGCCAGCCTTAATTTTACTAAGAAATGTTCAACTTGTAAGATGCCTTAGGTTTATCTGCAGCTTACATTCTAAATTTTTAAAATTTAGTATCTGAATGGCACAACATTCAAACTCTTAAAATCAAAACCTTTGTTTTATCCTACCTTTGCCTCCATTCTATTTTATAACTATATGCAGTGGCATAACTAAGATTTTGCTCTAAGTGGTAATCTGCAGGATAATCTAAAAAAATAGAATCAGATTAAAGAAACCTTAAGCATCTCTTACCCTTCATTGCCAACAAATGAGTGTCCCTTATATACCTGTCAGACAAATGTTCTAGAATGTTTCTTATACATTTAGAAGGAAACTTTGAGAAAAAATCTAATATCTGAACTATGATTTTTCTTCTAGAATAATCCATAGTCATGTAATATAAGCAATTGATAACTGGGCATTCATTTTTTTATTATAATAAGAAATGAAATAATTGATTAATATTGAATTATTTGCTAATAAAATGTAATTTTATATTTGTTGTTTAAGACAAAGTTTTTTACTTTAAATTTTATTCGTAAAATTTCTGGATAGGGATCCAACACCCACATTATCTCCCATAAGTATGCCATAGGCCATATGTAATATAACGTTTGAGTGCTATATTATTTTGTTAAAATATTATACTATATATAAAGAAATAGACTATGCATGTTAAATCCAATAAAGCAGTAAATAGTAATGAGAAACAACTCCAAATTCTTTAAAATTATAACAACAAAATCTACTTATTGGAGTTCACTCTAACAACAATTTTTCTCAAGCAGTTTTGGGCAATCAAGCCTCTGACAATGGGCTTGATTGCCTGAAAGTGCTTGAGAAAAACTGTTGTTAGAGTGAACTCCAAAAAAAAATTTGTTATTGATACAGTAAATAGTGTTCTTAAGAATTAGAATATTGTTTCATTACAGAATTTTAAATTTTAGTTTAATTTGAAAGTTGAAGATATTTATAGACAATTAATGGTGAATTTATTAGTTTATTCAAAATGTTTTTAAAATTATAAAAATTCTGGCTAAACAAATATGATTAAATTCTCTACTCTTAGTTATATATTAAAATAATTATACCTCTTGTAAAATCTGTCGCTGAAGTTTTTGATAATCAAAAGATTTGTTGTCATTTAATCCAGTTTTCCACATTTGGGGAAGTTTTACTTCAACTGAATATTTAACAGGAGAAACAATGACATCAGCAGTAGTTGTTGGTATTACTGGGAAAGTCTTTTCTGTTTCACTACTTACAGTAGTGGAAACAGAAATAACAGTTGAAGGATATGTCGTAGATGGAATTTTCAAAGTTGTCGCTTTAGTTTTTAATGTAGAAAGTCCTAAAAGTTTTTAAATAGAAAAGTAAGTCATTATTATTTTATGCATCATTTAATTTAAATTAATTAAACTTAAATAATTACAGTCAAATTTGCTTTTCAACTTAATAAAATTGATAGCATTAATTTTACTTTACATACTTAAAGTTATCATTATTTAAAATTATCATTTAGCATTAGATTATTATAATATTAAGTATTTATTTTAGACAAGTAGACTGATACAAAGGTGCTTTTACAACTTTGATTGTCTCGCCTTTGACTAGTCTGAAGTAGAGGTGCTTTGGCATTTTTTGAGTTGTGTAAGGTTGATGATTTTGCCAAAACGCTTTTATATAACGAAAGTCCAGCATACTACGTATTGAAAAATGGCAAATTTCTGAGAAGAAAAAGGGGAATGAATGTATCTAATCACACTGACATTAAAAAAGGTCATGTCATAGGTAGAGTTTATACTGTACATCCGAATAACACAGAATGCTATTATCTTCGCATGTTGCTGCATGAAGTAAGAGGACCTACATCATTTTTAGATCTAAAAACTGTTAACAGCACAGTTCAGCCTACATTTCAAAACACATGTAGAACATTAGGATTACTAGAAGATGACAAACACTGGGAACACACACTGGAAGAGGCAAGTCTTTGTGATTCTCCAAAGAAAATTCAAGAACTATTTGCTACAATGCTATTAACGCTCTCTATTCAGGTTAGTCTATGGCAATCTAAAGTCTCAAGTGTACCAAAGTTCTATTTAAAGCTTCAACTGCTCCTTTATGAACATGATGACTTCATCCCAAACAATTATCTTACATTCCCGCAATATTTGAGCTATGGCACTTTGTGTTGATATGTTGCAAAATTTTGAAAAGTGTTATAAATTAACTTATTCGTATTCAAAGTTATTTAAATAATTTTCAAAGTCAAAATTTATTTATTTTGAAATAGATGTATTGGTTACATCTGTTTCATTTCTATTTTCCTTTATTTCTTCTGTATTTCTTCTGTAGACTGACAATACTCTAACAAGACCAGGAGAAAACAGAAAGTGACCTTGAGGGTATTAAAGTGAGCTAGGAAAAAACAAAAATAGGAGGAGAAATAATCCACTAGGAGTAACAAAGATTTTTTTTTTTTATGGAGTCATTGCAGGAAGTTTTTTCAAGGCAGATGAGTGAGTGTTGAAATGTAATTGTAAAAGTAGTGATGAAACTAAAGTAAAAAGGAAGTAGAATTTAACATTAATAAGCAAAGTGCACACAATGACAGGTAAGAAGCAAGTTTGACACATTGACTGCAGAAATGCAACATAGTACAAGCAGCTAGAGACCCAAGCGTTAGTGCAAGTTTGACATCAAGTTTAAAATGCCGTGTATCAAGTACAGGCAAAGTAAACAATCAAATACACGAAAAATTTAACTAACAAACTGAAACATAGTAGTCTATAAAAGTCTCTTTACAATTCATTTTCTATTACACTTCGGGATAAAATAAAATCTGAGGAGGTCCATGATGCAATCTTCATCTTCACAATCTTCATTTTGAGGCATATGGAGGCAGGTGCCACCATATAAAAGATGTTAAAAATTCCTCCTAGAACTTTCTGATCCAGTTTGTGGTCGCTGGTTTGCACTTCACCAAAGAGCTGGCCACGTGGAGTTTTCCGGGTTTTCTTCACTTGTCTAATACCAAAATAGAGGCTAGTTTCCTATAGAAAGTCCTGGCATGCAATACCCATTGGTAGATCATTGCCTTATCCAACTATTGCATATAGAAAAACAGTTGAATTTTAGATGATATTTTTCGATTTTTCTATTGTTTTAAATGTAGTATATTTAGGTTATTGATTTATTTATTTATTTATTTCCAGTAAGATCAACATGGCATTAGAAGTGCACATGGTTGTATCCATCGTCTTCTTTACAGTAGGTTCTGTAATGGTATTTGTAGGATTGGTTCTATGTTGCTTGATCAAACCCGAACTTTACGTCTGAGGAAATCTTCACGATCGGTTAGTTACGTCAGTTCTTCCGCCATCTCCGGGGGAAATTCCTCCACCGATATTTCCAACCGCACCTTCTCCTTCAGATACGGAATTAATGTGCTATAGCCCCACTTGGAAAGGTATTAAAATATATAAGGATCCTTGGGACTGAATATTTCATGAAAGTTTATATACATTAAACTTGAAAAAACTTGTCTTTTATTTTTATGAAATAAAATATAATGTGATTTCATTTTTTATGCCATTGTTTTACTACAAACTTCCAACTGTTTAAAATTATATTTGGCTCATAAAATTTAAATATTTTTGTTTTGTTATGAATCGGGTACATTTTTTCTGTTTTCGTCATCCGTCATAACTGTTATAAACATTATTAATAAATTCATCAAAAAATGAGCAACTTTAATAAATATCGAATCTGTAAACATTTAATATAAAATTTAATTAGTTTTATTAAATATAAAAATTTATGTACAAATTTAATTGTTGAAGTAATCATGATTCTGGAGTACACAAACCGAGTACATGTATTTTTTTGGTTTATTTAAATTCGTCTGGTATGCCTTTTAGTGGCGAANTTGTTATTTACCTATCTATATACTAAATGCTAAAATTACTTTCAATTATAGTAGTTTTATTAATTTTGTAATTATTTAATAAAATCAATTTTTAGGATAAACAAATAAACAACATTTAAATTAAATTTTAAATAAAAATTTTCTAATACCTTTTGATCTACAACTATGAATACAGATTCTTTCACTAGAAACAATTGGTGTAGATTCATGTCTCCTTATTCTTTTATTGACAGTATTGAATACTCCACCATGTACAGGATACATAAAATAGAAGCAGTCATTTGAAAACTGTAAATCTCTTGCATTATCTCCTGTGTTGTGTTTTCGAACAAACTGCAGCACAGTTGTTCCATTAACTCTTTGTCCAGTTGCATTATAAATATTTTGATTTGGATCAATGGTTGGAGTTGAATAAGAATCCAGCCATCTATAAGGTATGAAAAACATATATGTTATAGCATTTAAAATTATATTATAAAAAGAAACAATAAAATTTACTATTTCTTATTCAAAAATGTTAAATATTTAATAAATTTACTCACGTGTCCATAATAAAAGAACGTCCAGTCTCCTCTATCCATCCAAGAATAGCATCTGTTTCAGTCTATATGTTTATAGTGAAAAAAATAATACATCGTCAAAACTTTCTAAAACCAACAAATCTTTAATGATCAAACATTTTTGACCTTCTTAAAAACCCTTTTAAGGGCCTTCTAATGTATTTATATTATCATAAATTACATAAAAACTAACATGTAAAATTTTAATTTAGAAGATTTGTATAATAACAAAATTAATAGCATTTAACTCTTAGTACGGAAACTTTCCTCATTATCAAATAAATTTATTTCTCCAATTACTTTAAATATATACAGTTCTCTGCTTTTGGTTTGGGTTCAAGTGAAACTTTTTTATCTTTATTTCCAAAACAGCATAAAATTGTATGTGTTTAAAGTCTTACGTTTAAAATTATCATTGTGAACTATGAAGTTAAGCTAAAATTAAATTAATAATTAAATTTGTATCAAAATGCATTAAAGTAAGAAAAGGCAAATAATAGAATGGTAGAACTATATTTTTGCCTGGGAAAAAAAATTAGAACAAATATCAATGCTTAAAATTGTAAAATCAGAAATAGATTATGTTCCAAATTCTATGCAATAAGGAACATTTCCAAAACCTGTCTTATGTATATGCAAAATTAGTTGTATAGTAAAGAGCATTACTATTGTATTAATATAGTGTTGTAACAGTAACAATTACATTATAGGTATTAAAACTTTTTACATAAAAGAATGTGACATCCAGATCAATAGCATTCATGTACTGTACCATACTGGATGCACTTCAAGAAAAAAAGAAAAAGTCAATAATAAAACACATTATTTTTATTTTTTCTGCTTTTAGATACAAAACCTTTGAAAGCAATATATATATATATATAGATATATAGATAACTAAGAAAGTACTGATTGCAATTTTTTTTATAAAAGTCTATCTTTTATTCCATACTTATAAAATTAATATAATAATAATAACTTTCTCGTGGTCACCACCTGACCATGGTAGGAGAGCCCAGTAATTTTACTTATCCAAATATTAAAAAATATTTAACTCTAAAACTATATTTTTATATTGATTTTTGACTCAATAATAAATGAAATTATTTCTTACCATTGCTTTATTTTTAGAAAATCCAATTCCAGTCCATTTATTATAACTTTTACTACTAACAGTGAATATAATTTCATCCGATTCATCAATGTAGAACCAATTTGCTTTATATTCACAATTATGTGCTTCACAGTTTTCTGGTGTTTTCCATTCACCTAAACAAGAACTAACGAATTGATTTGACTTCAATTCATTGTTTGGCTCTGGCTCACTTTTGGTTTCTGGTTCACTTTTTGGCTTTGGTTCACTTTCTGGTTTAGGTTCACTTTCTGGTTCAGGTTCACTTTTTGATTCTGGTTCCCTTTTAGGTTCTGGCTTGCTTTCTGGTTCTGGTTCACTGGTTGCTCCTATTTAATAAATTGCAGCTTAAGTTTCAGAAAAATTTATTATATTTGGTTTTATCAAAACTTTCAATTAATTTGTAATATCATATTTTAAGTTGAGATTATAATTTATCAAAAAAAATCCATTTCTTATTAAACCAATTGAAATTTTTAACACAAATTAGTGTTTTAATCAGATTTAAATACAATTTAAATGTAATTTATCATTTTTACATAGTTTTCTTTAGTATCAACTTAATGTTTTATTGCTTCGTTATGTTATAGTAACAGCATATGTGTAGATAAAAAATTACCTGTGATGTAATTTATCAAAATGAATCTTATGATAAACACTGTGAAATATTTATATTCAATTATTGGACAACGATAATTATCAAATACATTTTAATAACACTGGTATAATAAAAAATATCAATTAAATTAATAATCTTTGGTTATCTACTTTAATATTGTTGATTACATTTTTATTAAAAATTATGTTTTCTTACCTTTATTTTGACATTTATGAATACAGATTTTATCTTGTGAAACTATTGGTGTCGTTTCATGTTTTCCAATTTTTTTACTTATTGCATTAAATGTACCGCCTTTAACAGGAAACATAAAATAAGAGCATTCAGTATCTGAGAAACGTATATCATTATCAAAATCTATTGTGAATCGTTTTCGGACAAAATGAAGAGTGGTTTGTCCATTTTTGCGTTCTCCAGATATGTTATAAATATCTTGACTTAAATCAAGTTTTGGAGGCGTATAGTCATTTAGCCATCTGAAAATATGCAATATTTATTTAATTTATTAGAAGTATTCTATATTAATCAATCTATACTAATATTATAAAGAGGTAAAATTTGTAAGTTTGGATGTAGGAGGTAATCTTCAAAACTACTCATCCGATTTCAAAAATTCTTTCACCAATATTTAGAATGGACTTTCAGATGGACATAGGCTGTATATTATTCCATTAAACATTCATCTAGATAAGCATTATATTTTTGGTGTCAGTGGGTGGTGAGGGGCAAGACGCATACATATATGAGATAGGTAACCACATGGTGCAGTTGCGTGGTCAGTGAGATAAGCAGTGCTCATGTCCAAACTTGTAGTATATAAAGTTGACACAAGGAACGCATGCACATAAGTTTGCTTTATTTGAACTCTTAGTCTTAATGTTCAATTTTATGTTAAAATTTATATTTATGAATAATTCGAGAAGATCCAATTTATTTTTCAAATTTAGTAAACTAGAAGAAGAACCCAGAAGGGATTACAAAAACGTTTGTTATTTATCACTTAGTAGTACTATGCACTGGTTAGTAGTTGCTGTGAATTTTAATTATTGTTATTCCAGTGTGGTAAGCAGATATCTAAAAATTTTCTAATTAGTCTCAGAAGAGGGGGACCTAATTCTTGCACTCGGTAAAAACGGGTAAGATCGGCTATAATCTAATGATCTTAATCTTTGCTTTTGTTTTTGTTCGAGCAACGCTGGGCTCAGCTCCTAGTAATTAATAAATTTATTATTCATATATTATTGTTATTTTAAAAGAATCTAATTTGTATTCAAATATAGTAATTGCAGTGATTCATTTAATCATGAATTTCATTTTAATTAAAATCAAGTTTTTAGAAACAAACAAAATCATTTCATGAAATCTTTAAAAAATATTATAAAACAAAATATGTGACTTTTGATAGATAATTTAGAGTAAATATGTTTACATTTCTTTGTAATACTAAAAATTAAAGAATCCAAAATGGAAAGTATTGGAAAAAATTACAAAATTAAAAATTAAATATAAAAAAACATTGAAATCTTCTAAATATCCATATATAACCATTGGAAAATAACAGTAATAGAGTTGATTTTTCTTTACAGACTCTTCTCTAGCTAACATATACAAATACAAAAAAAGTTTTTAAATCTTTTAAACATCCACTCACAGTTAACACTAGCAGACCTGACTTTTTCCTTATAGACACTTTTCCATCTACACATATGCAAATTGTTTAAAAACCCTTCAGGCATCTGATCTCATAAAAATTTTTCTTTTTAAAACTAAAAAATTTTCTAATTCTCAATATATTTCATAAATTGCATTTTCCTTGTAATTTTTACAATACATTCTTTCCTGGATTTTTTAATTTCTCAAAGAAATATTTCTATAAAGAGGGACTTTAACCCTAGATAACTAAACTTAATTTTCAGTTACATTATAACTGCACATTCGTCGAGCAGACTACGCATTAAAAAACGTTAATATCAACAAAATTGTTTAATAAAAATAGGAACTTGTTACATGACACAATAGTATGGGTAAGTAGGAACTAAATAAGGACAAAATATTTAGGTAATAAAATTACACACAGTTGCTACATACGTTAACATTATGGGGGCTGCAAAACACATTTTTGCATTTCATGTAACAGTGTTTTGTCATTCGCCGAGCTTTCGATGGACATAAATAGCATATTTTATGCAGATTTGATGCAGAATGAGTAGGAGCTTCTACACTAGACACATCACCTAGAATATCCTGTATCATTATGATATCATGCCTCAAAGGCACTGTCTGTATTTGCTGTCGTAGCTGTGGCTCCATGAATTGGTCTCTCATTTTTATAAAGAAATCCCGCCGAGACATTGGTTTTTTTTTGTTTCTAACATTATTAGATACATAGATAGCATAGCTGTTTATTGCCAATAGGTTTAGCATATTATAAAACACGCATAGTGGCCACCTTTTCGTTTTTTTGCTATTACTCATATTTGAACACATTTGATCTACTGTGTCTACCGCACCCTTTGTACTATTATAAAAGTGTATTATTTGTGGTTTTCTTGTATTTTCATCGATGTTAGATTGATCATGAATAGTCGACAAAACACAAACAACTTTATTTGACTTGGCTTTGTACAAAACTAATATCTTATTGCCATCGTAACAAAATATTGAAGTACCAACAGCGCGTGATTTAAAATTTTTTAATTTTTCAGGAATTTCTTTTTTGTTACTTCTAAGAGTGCCAACTAAGGTCAAATTATATTCAAAAAAGGTAAAAAAATAAGGTCAAAGGTGACTTCAATAGTTCATCCACCAAAGATACAGATGTGAACCTGTTATCCATAGTAATGTTACAGTTGGTTCCATGTAAAATAGATGTTATTTCCTTTATGAAAAACGTAGCCAGTGGTTGTTTCTGAGGATCAGTACCTTTTCCAAAATACGGAATGGCATTTATCATGTACTTACTGTTTACATCCGCAGCCATAAGAATGTACATAATGTACATGCCTTTGCATAAAAGTTACGTAGCAACCAAACTTTCATCGAGCAGACTACAAGATGGCCGTAAGTCAATTTCTAATTGACGTGTGAACACAATTGCATCACATACTGCACTGTTTATTCAAATTATTAAGGTAGAAAAAAATGGCTGGCAGGAAATGCAGGGAAGTTTGTGAATTTCACTTTCGAGCGAAGGTGCATCGTTGTATGAATGAATGATTAGTTATCTAGGGTTAAACAATTTTCATATGAATAGATGAAAAAGAGTCTATAAGGAAAAGGTCAGCTCTGCTAGTGTTAATTGTGAGTGAATGCTTAGAAGATTTCAAAATGTTTTTCTGTTTCATCTTCAAAATATGTGGATTAAACTTCACAATATGAATTTTTTTTCATTTGCAACAATACAGTAGAACCTCGATTATCCGCCCTCCGATCAACCGACCCCTCGGTTAACCGACCGTCCTAGTCGGCAAATTTCAAATGCCCGCTAGTGATGTGGCGCTACAATATTTGGCTATGTCTTGGCTACTTTAATATTATTTTTACGTGTTTTAGCTGGCAACACTCATTCGACCATGAAAGGGAGTCAATATTTAAACGAGTCTTAATTTTCTAATTTTTAACGATACAATAGCGACGATTATTATTTTAAAAAATTTTTGTTAGGCTTAACATCGATGAAAATTCAACGCAAAATAGGTTAATAGCGATATACTAATATACTAATTACATGGGATATAATAATATACTACACTAATNAGTTTATGCAATGAAACAGGTTATATGCTGCACCTATGGATCAACAACTGCTTTCATAATTTAAGGATATAGGGTGAGATAAATTATTGAACCCATTGAAGGTTATATGCAAAATATAGTATTTATTTATTCCCAAATATTTTAGTTCAATTTAATAATTTATTTAATTTTATTTAAAATAAAATAATTTGTAATGTCTAATTGATTTGCTCATATATAAAAACTTTATAAAATTAATAATTTTAAATTTTAAAATTAAAATTATAAAATATAAACTTCATTAATTTATAAAAAGTAATATGATAATAAAATCAAATTTGTATTTACAGATAAATATAAATAAAGAAAAAGATACTGCCATGCCATACCATACTGTATTCTTTTATACATTTGATAATTGTAAATATGTATAAAAGAACACAATTATACCAATACTTAGTGACAGTTGTATACAAATGCTATTATTAATGCAAATAAAGCTTATTATAGTGGTCTTCACACCAGTAGTCCATCCATCCAGAATTATACAAGGATAGATAATATTGCGTATTTCAGAAATCCTTCAAGCATCAATGATCTTTATAAATTTGGTGGAGGCAATTGCAGCATCCATAGTTTCAATAAACATATAAATGTCAATATATTATACACCAAGCTGCCATAGATCAAATTTAATCTTAGACTACAGAACAAGCTAAAGCTAAATTGTTATATCTATCTGTGATATCAAGCTGTATCAGCTATCTGGATGAAATAGATAGATATAACAGTTAATCACATTAATCCAGATGTTTGCAATGTATAGATCTCTGTACATCTATAAAAAGCTGGCAATTTATTACATATTATACATTATTTCAATTAAAATTATGTATATTCTTAAAATGTTTATCATTATTNTTTGTTTATTTTGAACAATCCGGATAATGGAGGTTCTACTGTATTTTGCTTTGTTTTACGTAGTTTTTTCTTTTTATCTTTGCTAAATATTTGGCTTGTTTGATCATCAAGAGAGTTGAAAAAATTGCATTTCTAACAATTTCAATACTGTTTCTAATGCATCAAATGCTTTATTGCATATAAACACAATGAAGCATTTGATGCATTAGAAGCCTGTGACTTGTTAATCAGGCTCTTTTGTTTGTAGCATGATAAATAAAATCTAACATTAGTGTTTATAATGAGATAGCTCAATAACAGGCCTACAGAAGATTGCCAATAATTGTTATGTAAAAATTTCATAATTTCTGGAATGCTCTCTGAAGCTTTCTCTGAGCAAAAACTTCTGCTCTCTGAAGTCATTTGGTTAATTGATTTTTTGATAATCAGTGCTCTACTGTATTCTGTTCTCAGATCCTCCTTCATTTTTTTTGAATGTTTATTTTGAGGAGGATCTGAAGCTGAAATATTATATTCTTAAAATGTTTATCTTGATTTATGTTTAATTTTACCATTCTTTTATCTTTAGAAAAAGCAATTCCTGTCCATCTGTCTGTATGTATATTCTTAAAATGTTTATCATTATTTATGTTTAATTTTACCATTCTTTTATCTTTAGAAAAAGCAATTCCTGTCCATCTGTCTGTATGAATGGTATTAACAGAAAATGAAATTTCATCAGTTGCATCTAAAAATTTCCATTTCACGGAATATTCACATTTTTCATCACAGTTTTCTGGATACTTCCACTCACCCATACAATCAGTTATTTTTTTTGATTTTTCTTCACTATTACCTGTCAAAATAAATTATTAGTGAACAAATATTTGTGACAAATAAAATAAAGTGAATAACTTGAATAAATATAAATATCACTATTTTTCTATTAAACATTCTTACTAAGGAAATTAAGAGTGAGTTTTCCTCTCTGTTTTCCATGACCATGATATTTTAATTCATCAGGTCTGTAGAAATCTAATATTTTAGCTTTTCCAGATTCAAGTCCAGTAGTGGGAGAATGAATGTACATATTTGGTTCTTGTCCTCGTGCCCAAATCACATCCATTAAATTACTAGATATACTATGATCTGTAAAATCCGTTGCTAATGGAGAAGAAAAAATTGTAATTGTTTAGAATAGTTTGTTTCAATGCTTATATAATCAAAACTGAAAAACTGTTTTATATTACCTTTAAGTTTCTTCCTAAATAAGATTGTTGTTATTCCATCAATTTCATATCCCATAGCAGCTGTAATATCATCTTTACCACCAAAATATGAATCTATTTTTGGTGTTGATCTGTCCCTTGTATAAAAATCTGCAATTCTACTTAAACTTCCTCTTGCTACACCAATTACAATATCTGTACAATCCATAGCATGAAAATCAGCTCTAGGAGTGTATGGAGTTTTCTCAGGATAATTTTTATAAGATAATATCTTATCTAAGTTATTGTTGTTTGTTGGTTCAGATTCAGGTTCAGATTTAGATATTAATAATTTATGTTTTGAAGTAGCTTCCAGAATAGTGGAATAATGTATTTCAGGTGATGGTTCTGATGATGATGGCTTATTAATAGGTTCAGAGTTTGTTTCTGGTTCTGGAATAGATTGCTTTGATGATGCAATATTATTTTTTAATGATACTATTTGACGTTTTAGTCTGAGATTTAAACTTGGATAAAAAGGAAAATTTTGATCATTTGCAAAGTCAGGTAAAAATTGCTCATTAACTTTAAAACTTGGATTTGGAACAATATATGATAATTTTCGAGGTTTTCTTTCTTCATGTGTTTTATCTACAGTCACTGATCTACTATTATGTTTTGGAATAATAATAGTTTCAATATTAGTGGAAGGTTCTAATTTTACTTCAGGAAATTGTTCAACATTTGAAACATGATGAACAGTCAGTTGAGATTCAGAATTTGTTTCAACTTCAGGCTTTACTTTATGTTTTGATTCTATTTTGCTTTCAATTTTTGAATCATGTATTTGTTTTCCTTGAAGATGAGATGTTGGTTGTGTTATTACTTCATCTTTTTGTTCTGGAGTAGAATTTGCTTTACTATCAATATTTTGTTTAGACTCTGTTTTTTCAATTTTTGGTTCAGACTTATCTTTCCCTTCAATTATTGGTTCAGGTTCTGCTTTCCCTTCAGCTTTTGGTTCTGGCTCAGCTTTTCCTTCAGCTTTTGGTTCTGGTTCAGCACTTTCTTCTGCTTTTGGTTCAGGCTCAGCACTTCCTTCAGCTTTTGGTTCTGGCTCAGCACTTCCTTCAGCCTTTGGTTCAGGTTTAGCTTTTCCTTCAGCTTTTGGTTCAGGTTCAGCTTTTCCTTCAGCTGTTGGCTCTGGCTCAGCACCTGCTTCTGCTTTTGGCTCAGGTTCTGCTTTCCCTTCAGCTTTTGGTTCTGGCTCAGCACTTCCCTCAGCCTTTGGTTCTGGCTCAGCTTTCCCTTCAGCCTTTGGCTCAGGCTCAGCTTTTCCTTCAGCTTTTGGTTCATGTTCAGCACTTCCCTCAGATTTTGGTTCAGGTTCAGCTTTTCCTTCTGCCTTTGGTTCAGGTTCAGCTTTTCCTTCAGCTTTTGGTTCTGATTGAACTTCTCCTACTGGTTCTGGTTCAGGTTTTGATTTGCCTTTACTTTTAAATTTAGATTCTGCATTTAAGTTTAATTCAGGTTGAGGTTCAGCTTTTCCTACCATAATAAAATAATTTTATTTTTCAATTACATTCAATACAATAATATTTATTTCAATTATATTTACCATTTTGATAGCCGATATGTCGAGGTGAAGGTTCTAAACTTCTTGATAAAATTTTTTCTTGTACAACAGGAAAAGCTTTACAGGATTTTGTTATATCATGCGGTCTCCATCCAATAGCTGCATAACTAGTACTTTTCACTTTCATAACTGCTTCAAGTTCTTCTGATTCCTGAAGTGTAAGAAATTTTAATAATTACATAATAATAAAGATAGGCTATAAAGCATTAGTAATTATTTCTGAAAATTGATTCCACTTTCAATTTTTTATGTCCTCCTTGGTTATGAAAATATTGAAATATAAGATTATTTAGATTACAACTCATATGTCAATAAATATCATTTTTAAATCTTCAGCAATCAAAATTAATAATATATTTTATTCCTTTGAAACAATATCTATTAACTAATTTTTATACATTTTTTTTAATCTCATCATTGCTTCCAAATTTGAGTATCGCACGTCCTGTATGATCTTTTCTAGAGGGGACCATAGACAGTACAATGGTTCCCTTTTTAAATTTAAAGAAGTAATTAACCATGACATACATTTATGAAAATTAAGCCATTGTGATTTGTGCATTATTATCTTTCAAACATAATTTATAAATACAGTAGATTATCAACAATCTGAACTAATTGAAGCCACACCCCAACCAATTTTCAATTTGTCTGGATTTTTAAATATATGTGTAAATTAACATTTTAATAGTATTTCAATAGTATTACAGTAAGTACACTAATTCAAATTTAGGTTCAAGTCAACATTTCATAAAGAATGTAAGAATACTTACAAAGATTTAAGATATAATTTACAGAATCACTGTATTTAAACAAAAAATACTTTAATCATAATTTTAAAACTAAAAAATCATGAATTATGAAAGAATATTAGACATATAGTTCTTATAATTTTCACTACATTCAAACAACTGCATAAATGTAAAATCTCATAAAAAAAACTTAAATTCTGAAGGTATTCAATAAACCTTTATTGTACTATAAAAATACATTTAAAACAAATTGAACAGTTTCATGTTAATTTAATGAAATGATGAAAGATTAATATTTTGGTCAGAAAACAGGTAAAATTCCACCCAGGCCAAAAGAACATCTATGACAAAGTTACCATTGAAAGGGTTAGCATTTATTATACTCAATACTATAAATGTAAATCATATAATACACAGTAGTATTATAATATACACTGTAGTAATACAGTACAGATATAGTAAATAAATAATTAAGCAATTCTAATATAGGATCATAAACAATATAAAAATGTATGTTACTGTAATTTTAAAATATGTTTATTTATATGAAATATCTAAAAATTTTACTTACTGGTAATATTCTCCAGTAGAAAGAAAATTCATCTGACAAATCTTGTTTTGAATATTTTGAATAATCAATATTCATATCTTTAACTGCAGATTCTATAATCAAATTTAATAAGTATGATAACAAGTTTTAGATACTTGAATTTTCTCTCTTTATTTTAGAATGAAGTCTGTTATTTTAACAATTAATTACTATAGTAATAATACCTTTTGAACACTTTTCACCAAACCAACCAATTTCACAAAAACATTGTTTTTTTGGAAAAGTTGTGGCATCAATATTTATACATTTTCCATGGGATCCACAATCTCCATCATTCCAGCATTCATCTAATAAAATTAATTATTATTAATTTAATTTTCTGTTCATAAGCAACTCCATATTTATATCATTCACAATACAAACACTAATAATTTTAAGAGGTCAGTTTATTACTTAATAAAATATTTTTCAAGACTTATATTTTATTATTAAGTTTGAATCTAAAAATGATATATAATATTCTTAAAATAGTAGTTACTTCTCCTTAAAAATGATGAGCATTTTGTCTTATGGATTAAATAATTTAAAAGTAATATACACAATAATAATCATTTTACATTTACTTTAACATTGTACGTAACAATAAATTATATTGTATGAATTAAAGAATATTATATAATAAAATAATTATTTCTGTTATAGTCATAGAAATAAATATTTTGTTTTTGCATTATATAATGAATGAAAGTAGAAATTTTTTTAGTTGTTATAATGTTTTGTTACAAGTTAATCCATGTTTGTCTTGTATTATTAGCTTAGTCAGTTTGTCTGTATCATCAGACTTGGTCTTAGCAAATATAAGGACCAAAAGAAAAAAAAATCATTAAAATTATCATTAAAAATCAAACAGAAACTAAATTGCTAAAATATTTATATTGCATATGATATTGTTAACTCTAAATCTATAGTAGTGTTAACTATATATCTATATACCTGTATATAAAATTGCTTGTCCTGACTGACTGAATGAATGACTCACTGACTGATTCATCATCACCCAGAGCAAACCGCTTAACCTAAAGAGGTGAAATTTGGTACACAGTTAGGGTACGTCATGGAAACACACACTAAGAAGGGATTTTTCGAAATTCCCCCGCATGGGGGAGAGGGAGAGCATTAAAGCTTAACCGGAAGAATGGCTTCTACTGTACTATTTTAGATGTGATTTTTTGTTTTTATCTGCATTTTAGTAGGGTATGCCATGGCAATACACACTAAGAAGGAGTTTTTTGAAATTTCCCCGTGGGGGGAGAGGGAGAGCATTAAGCCTTAACCGGAAGAATGGCTTCTACTGTACTATTTTAGATGCGATTTTTTGTTTTTATCTGCATTTTAGTAGGGTATGCCATGGCAATGCACACTAAGAAGGGGTTTTTTGAAATTTCCCCGTGGGGGGAGAGGGAGAGCATTAAAGCTTAACCGGAAGAATAGCTTCTACTGTACTATTTTAGATGCGATTTTTTGTTTTTATCTGCGTTTTAGTAGGGTATGCCATGGTAATGCACACTAAGAAGGAATTTTTCGAAATTTCCCCATGGGGGAGAGGGAGAGCATTAAGCCTTAACCGGAAGAATAGCTTCTACTGTACTATTTTAGATGCAATTTTTTGTTTTTATCTGTGTTTTAGTAGGGTATGCCATGGGAATGCACACTTGGAAGGTATTTTTCCAAATTCCCCAGCAGGGGGAGAGGGAGAGCATTAAGGCTTAACTGGAAGAACGGCTTCTACTGTACTATTTTACATGAGATTTTTTGTTACGTTTAGTCTTCATTAAGTACTTAAGTGTATTAAATTAATAACCTTTCAGACATTGTTATAAATATTTTTATATATTTCGATTTTTTAACCAAATGTTCGAACCGTTTTAAATTCGAATTTGTTATTGCATATTGGTTCGATTATAGAACAATTATAAACATTCCAGAAAATTGATCAAATTGAAAATAGTTCGTTTGATTCTCAGCAATTCTCATCATTCTTGGCAGTAGGTGTTATATAACAATTACTATAGTTGTTGAAATACTGAATATAAATGGGGTTTGCTTGCAAAACCTCCGCGGGCGAAGTCGCAGGTAACAGCTAGTATTATATATAGTACAACTATTTCTATAGAATGACAATGTCCTCTCTTCATAGAAATTGTAATCCTAAAATGATACTGTATCTGATTGAGTCCATTCTAATCAGCTAAACAGTATTCACAAAAACAGGAAAAAGCATAGTATAGACACTGTGCACAATACATGGTAAGAAATCAAAAAATTCTTTTTATGAATGTTACTTTCTGTTAAGTTGAAAACTTTTGAATAAATTGAAGTCAATGTGATGATTTTGATTTACCATGATCAAAACACATTTAAACTTACATATATCATTATTGAAAATTTCTCATAATCTCAAAATTAAATAAGAAAGATTGCAAATTTTTTAAATTACTAATGAACACTGGTTCAGGTTCAGCTTTTCCTTCTGCCTTTGGTTCAGGTTCAGCTTTTCCTTCAGCTTTTGGTTCTGATTGAACTTCTCCTACTGGTTCTGGTTCAGGTTTTGATTTGCCTTTACTTTTAAATTTAGATTCTGCATTTAAGTTTAATTCAGGTTGAGGTTCAGCTTTTCCTACCATAATAAAATAATTTTATTTTTCAATTACATTCAATACAATAATATTTATTTCAATTATATTTACCATTTTGATAGCCGATATGTCGAGGTGAAGGTTCTAAACTTCTTGATAAAATTTTTTCTTGTACAACAGGAAAAGCTTTACAGGATTTTGTTATATCATGCGGTCTCCATCCAATAGCTGCATAACTAGTACTTTTCACTTTCATAACTGCTTCAAGTTCTTCTGATTCCTGAAGTGTAAGAAATTTTAATAATTACATAATAATAAAGATAGGCTATAAAGCATTAGTAATTATTTCTGAAAATTGATTCCACTTTCAATTTTTTATGTCCTCCTTGGTTATGAAAATATTGAAATATAAGATTATTTAGATTACAACTCATATGTCAATAAATATCATTTTTACATCTTCAGCAATCAAAATTAATAATACAGTAGAACCTCAAAAACTCGGCTCTCGATAACCCGGCACTCCGGATAACTCGGCCACACCCTGGCAGGATAAAAAAATCCTTAATTAATTTATTTTCATTATAGACAGCTTTATAAAAGTATAAAAGCTCTCATAAAGTATTTTTCTGAGGTCTGTCTTATCAGGTAAATTACTGTACACAGTGTACTCATTAATTTTCATTTTCATGTAGTAAAGGCTCTATGCCTTCATAAAGGACGTACTTTTCCTTTGTTTAAGGGTATTTGGGCAGTTTATTCTCTGAAACAATAATACAAGTACAGTACAGTATTTTCTGAGGAAACACTTGTACTTTTTTTTTAACCCCATTCCCGATAACCCGGCATTTTCACAAACTCGGCCACCCTTCGGTCCACATTAGGCCGAGTTTTCGAGGTTCTACTGTATATTTTATTCCTTTGAAACAATATCTATTAACTAATTTTTATACATTTTTTTTAATCTCATCATTGCTTCCAAATTTGAGTATCGCACGTCCTGTATGATCTTTTCTAGAGGGGACCATAGACAGTACAATGGTTCCCTTTTTAAATTTAAAGAAGTAATTAACCATGACATACATTTATGAAAATTAAGCCATTGTGATTTGTGCATTATTATCTTTCAAACATAATTTATAAATACAGTAGATTATCAACAATCTGAACTAATTGAAGCCACACCCCAACCAATTTTCAATTTGTCTGGATTTTTAAATATATGTGTAAATTAACATTTTAATAGTATTTCAATAGTATTACAGTCTACTTACTGTAATACAACAGTATTACAGTAAGTACACTAATTCAAATTTAGGTTCAAGTCAACATTTCATAAAGAATGTAAGAATACTTACAAAGATTTAAGATATAATTTACAGAATCACTGTATTTAAACAAAAAATACTTTAATCATAATTTCAAAACTAAAAAATCATGAATTATGAAAGAATATTAGACATATAGTTCTTATAATTTTCACTACATTCAAACAACTGCATAAATGTAAAATCTCATAAAAAAAACTTAAATTCTGAAGGTATTCAATAAACCTTTATTGTACTATAAAAATACATTTAAAACAAATTGAACAGTTTCATGTTAATTTAATGAAATGATGAAAGATTAATATTTTGGTCAGAAAACAGGTAAAATTCCACCCAGGCCAAAAGAACATCAATGACAAAGTTACCATTAAAAGGGTTAGCATTTATTATACTCAATACTATAAATGTAAATCATATAATACACAGTAGTATTATAATATACACTGTAGTAATACAGTACAGATATAGTAAATAAATAATTAAGCAATTCTAATATAGGATCATAAACAATATAAAAATGTATGTTACTGTAATTTTAAAATATGTTTATTTATATGAAATATCTAAAAATTTTACTTACTGGTAATATTCTCCAGTAGAAAGAAAATTCATCTGACAAATCTTGTTTTGAATATTTTGAATAATCAATATTCATATCTTTAACTGCAGATTCTATAATCAAATTTAATAAGTATGATAACAAGTTTTAGGTACTTGAATTTTCTCTCTTTATTTTAGAATGAAGTCTGTTATTTTAACAATTAATTACTATAGTAATAATACCTTTTGAACACTTTTCACCAAACCAACCAATTTCACAAAAACATTGTTTTTTTGGAAAAGTTGTGGCATCAATATTTATACATTTTCCATGGGATCCACAATCTCCATCATTCCAGCATTCATCTAATAAAATTAATTATTATTAATTTAATTTTCTGTTCATAAGCAACTCCATATTTATATCATTCACAATACAAACACTAATAATTTTAAGAGGTCAGTTTATTACTTAATAAAATATTTTTCAAGACTTATATTTTATTATTAAGTTTGAATCTAAAAATGATATATAATATTCTTAAAATAGTAGTTACTTCTCCTTAAAAATGATGAGCATTTTGTCTTATGGATTAAATAATTTAAAAGTAATATACACAATAATAATCATTTTACATTTACTTTAACATTGTACGTAACAATAAATTATATTGTATGAATTAAAGAATATTATATAATAAAATAATTATTTCTGTTATAGTCATAGAAATAAATATTTTGTTTTTGCATTATATAATGAATGAAAGTAGAAATTTTTTTAGTTGTTATAATGTTTTGTTACAAGTTAATCCATGTTTGTCTTGTATTATTAGCTTAGTCAGTTTGTCTGTATCATCAGACTTGGTCTTAGCAAATATAAGGACCAAAAGAAAAAAAAATCATTAAAATTATCATTAAAAATCAAACAGAAACTAAATTGCTAAAATATTTATATTGCATATGATATTGTTAACTCTAAATCTATAGTAGTGTTAACTATATATCTATATACCTGTATATAAAATTGCTTGTCCTGACTGACTGAATGAATGACTCACTGACTGATTCATCATCACCCAGAGCAAACCGCTTAACCTAAAGAGGTGAAATTTGGTACACAGTTAGGGTACGTCATGGAAACACACACTAAGAAGGGATTTTTCGAAATTCCCCCGCATGGGGGAGAGGGAGAGCATTAAAGCTTAACCGGAAGAATGGCTTCTACTGTACTATTTTAGATGTGATTTTTTGTTTTTATCTGCATTTTAGTAGGGTATGCCATGGCAATACACACTAAGAAGGAGTTTTTTGAAATTTCCCCGTGGGGGGAGAGGGAGAGCATTAAGCCTTAACCGGAAGAATGGCTTCTACTGTACTATTTTAGATGCGATTTTTTGTTTTTATCTGCATTTTAGTAGGGTATGCCATGGCAATGCAGTCTAAAAAGGAATTTTTGGAAATTCCACTGTGGGTGGGAGG